ACCATTGGCTTCTTTTGTACTTGTGTAAAGAAATTTTCCAAGTTCTGGGTTCAATCTCTAGGGACTAAAGGATCTTTCAGCATTCCTGAAATACTTTTTAACACCGTTTTACCTTTTGTGTGTGATTCTTTTATCTTCACTGACGCTCTTTATTACACAACCACTTTCTTTTAATCTTTTCTCTCATATTTAATTCATTTAATATACTTGTTTTTTAAATAAATGTCAAGGACGTTTAGTGTGTGAATTTCATTTTAATAAAGGCCACTAATAAGATAATTTAAAATTATTTTTCTAAACATTATTTGAATAATTTATAATTAAAAAAAGGAAGGTAGAGAGATGATAATCATAAAGGGAATATACCCTACTTTTTAACTTATTTAATTTTTAATAATTGTTCTTTTAATTATCGTAATTATTTATTAAGAGAATAAAAAATTAATATATATATAGCGTGCCAATCACAATTTTTAAAATTAATACTTTGATATGTTTTTAAAATAAATTAAAGCTTGGTAAGAATAGTCGTTTTACCACGATTTTGGTCTATTTATAAATATTCATGGGCCATTAAATAGTGACAAAATTAATAGTAATATTAATGGCCGGTAGGAGTAAGATGCGACGTCAGGAACGTTTTATTATTTTTTTTTTATTTAAGCAGCTCGTCGACTTGACTCGCCCGAAATACCTAGCACGGTTCTTCTATCGATTGAACAAAGTCGTTCGTTGGGAGAACACACCAGCATGGATAATTAAATTACCCGGGTCGATGGAAAACACTTTTAGAACTGGATTATTGCAGCGCCACGATATATTCTTATTCAACTCTCTCTCTCTACTCTTATTATTTTCTACAAACAGAAATCACATCTTTCTCGGGCATTGTGTGATAAATAAATTGTTTGAAAAACAAGAATTATTCTCATCATTAATTCACTATTTGATACTCTTCATTTTTAAGTGTATGTATATATGTATGAAACAAGCTGAATAATTTTTATAAAGCTCTCAAGAATAATCGAGAACAAATTTAATGAATTTTTTTTTTGTTTTGTTATCGAGGTAAATTAAAATTATTTAAATATTACTGTAAATTTGAGTCCTTCATTCTCATAAAAATTGAAAAGAATAATATTATCTGTGAATTGTTCGATAAACCATCAATGCAATAAATAATAAATGAACACAGAAGAGATACAATCGTGGTCAAAATTGAATTGTTAAAAATTTGTTTTTTTTCTTCACCTTCTGATTTGTTCCATTACTTATAAATAGACAAAAACAACACTGATACACGGCTTCTGCTACTTCAAATAATCAACCAAAATTATTTTTATCCAATACATTATTTAAAATTTAGTTATTTCGGTTATTCACTCGTAATGTGCGAATCATTGATGAATAAAAAAAGATCTTAAAACCGTGCGTAGGAATTTTTCAAACATAAAGAGAGATAAGAATGAAGAAAATGAAAAATACACTTGACCTCTTCGACGTAAAAGAAGCCGTGTTTATCGAGAATATATTTATATTTATATTTATATATATAGCATTTCTGCTCAATAGCATGAAGAATCTAAATTTAAACATGTTTTAGACGATGTGTGTATGTATAAAACACAGAAACAATGTACAATAGCACAAGTTCGCTTGGACTGTATCGTCCTCGAGTAGTGACGATAGGGATTACGACAGATGATGAATGCGGGAGGGGAATCCCGTGCATTAATGAACGGATGAAACCGAAAGATTTAAAAATACATCGTTTGAAAAAACCGCTGGACGATCATCATTATTTAATTTTAATCATAATAATAATAATAATAGTAGTAACTATAATAATAATAATAACAATAATCATAGCATTAATAATGAACGGTAATTGATAATAATATATTTATTAAAAGTTTTTATGTGATAATAAATGATTTTATCATATTTACAAAATTTCGAGACTGCTTCAACGTGCCGTCAGAATTATCATTATTTATCTGGATTTTCTTTGAAATATTACACCGAGCAAATAATTATTCTTTACACAACATACAGATACAAGACATTAATTTTATAAAAATCCAAGTTTCCCTCCTGTTCTTTACTCCAATTAAGTATGGGCTACAAAAATTAATTTATTTGAAATATTTTTTATCATTTGTATTAATATTATTATTGTTATTTATATAAAGCTGTGTTGTTATATTTCATTATATAATTTACGTTAATTTGTATTTGATAAATTACCCATTATTTCTCAATTCCGCACGACGAAGAGAAATATTATTTTTTATTTAAATGAATTGATTGGAATATAAACATTTTTATTTTTAGAACATGTATTAAATAAAGATAAATGAGTGTATTTATTTTTAAAGTATATTCTAAATTAAGAAAATGGTTATTTAAAAAAAAAAAAAAATAATTATTCAATTTAATATCTCCAATAGTGTTATTCTTTAAAGATGCAAGAAAAATTATTTAAATACCATTTAATGTCAGACAGTTTATGTAAAATCGATCTAGATTCTAAAATTAAACTGTTAATCTTCAAGCTCTGTTGAAAGACGAGATTCTTATATGAATTTATTAGCTTCATATCATGAGAGAAACAGGATCTATTTCGAATTGTTTAATCTACGATATTTTTAATTCATGTAATTACGGTCAGTAATAAATACTTCTTAAAATTCTTTGTGTCCTTGTCTTATTAATAAATTGCAGGTACGAATGAAGAGCCATCTTTTTTCTCAACTGCATCTGTGCAATAGAGAAATAATGACAACCAATTAACAAACGCACTCGGACTATCAAAGTAAGATAATTAATGTTCTCGTATCTGCAATGAAATACGTCGAAAGATCGAAGAATAAACTGCATGGAAAAAAGTGGCCTTAATTTTTTTACAAACTTTATTGCACAGGAAATTTTTTTAATAAGCCAAGTAAAAATTATACGTTATTTTGAAATTATTATTTTTTTATCACTATTTTAATTATTTTTTTATTTAAATAAATTTAAACGAAGAATAGTAATAGCAATTGCACTAATAAAGAAACAAAAGTTTACATAAAATATTCAACAAAATTTACTAACATACAGAGAGAGAAAAAAAAATAACAATTTAGAAATAACTTAAACAAAACAAAATTGTTTATTATTTTTTCATCGAATCTCACATTAAAACTTCAGTTGTTTAAATATTATTAAAAAATGTGGATTTGAAATAATAAAGCCTTTTTTTTTTTATAACAAATATACATTTATTTCAAATCAAAAAGTCATTAATAAATAAAACACTTAATAATTAATTGTTAATTTAATCATTTTTTAATTTAAGTCTTTATTTCTTTGATAAACTATATTTTTTACAATATTAGTATTATTTTTACTTGACTTTCCCTTGCACTCTTTAACAAAAAAATTTTCTTAATTACTTTGTAAAAATAAAAAAAAAAAAAAATTTAATACTTTAGTTAACATTAATAAATATTTATATTTTTAAATGTAATTAAATGTTTTATAACAAACAAAAATAAATTTCTAACAAAAATGTAATTTCAAGAGATATCAATTCAAAACGTACATCTTTTTGTAGAATTAATCTTACAAAGTAATTAATTAATTTTTTTTGAGTGTAATATTTTAATTTATTTAATGATATTTACATATACATGTACGTAACGAAATAAGATTTAAAAAAAAATTAACTATAATTTTTTCCATGTATTTATTGTTAACAGTGGCACATTCGAGAGCTCATCCTCGACCTACGAAAATGAATGATCCTCCACAAATTTCACAAATTCAACTGTACTTGAGGGCACGTGCCAGTTTGCTCAGACTTAGAAATATTTATATGGGATAAAATGTATTTATGCAAATGTTTAGGATGAAATTACGCATATAGTGACAGGATTTTTAAAATACTACGAGCATAAGCTCGCAATAATCCTAAAATAACCGACAGGATACCTACTATTTCTAAATTGTATGTACAATGAGTGCCAAGAGATTGAGCCAACCTCTTCCTCAGTTTCATTACTTTGCCAAGTGTCTCGTCTTCACGACGACGCAAAGGGATACGACAACAACAACGACGACAACGAGGGGAATTGTGAGAGATTTTTACGTTTCTCTATAGAGTAAATAAATGAAAACATTTAACAAAAACCAACTTTTGAGGTAGGGAGCAAGATATTTTAGAGTTGAAATACATAATCTAAAACGTGAAGTTATGCTTTATCTATGCTATCATAAAATACTCGAGAATTTCTCGTAATACCCCCTGTTATTTTCATTATTTTTACTTTTACTAGATATTAATATTTAATTTAATATGTATGTATATGTATATATATAAATATTATTATATATACATATATATTTCGCTCATTCATATCACATTAACGGTCACGTCGAGACTTGAAAATTGCGCTGATAGCCGAGGATGATAAACCTAATAGATCTTTTCTGATGTAATGAGAGAAAAATTATTATTTTATTCAAGAGGAAAATTTCATTTCATTATCATTCCTTTTAATTTATTAATTACTTCAACGATAAAAATTTCTTGATTAATAAAATATATTTTATTAAAATTCATTTTTAAAAAAAATGATTAAATGTTTATTGTCATCAAGAAATTTTTGTCATTCTTTTTCATAGTTGTAAATAAAATATTGAATAATTTGAGTTTATAATAAAATATTATCCATCTCAATGTTAATAATTTTTCACTCAATTCGAAACAATGCTTCGTGTATGCTGAATTTTATTAATTAATATAATCATAATTATTATTAAATATTTTTTTGGAATTCTGATGACTGAAAACTTGTACGCTAGATTCACAGCATTGATCACTTATGTAAATTTCCACTGCACTAAAGCGATCACTTAAAAAGCTGAGAAAAATAGCATTCACTACACTTTTTTTTCATTTTTTACCATTTTTTTTTTTTGTATTTACGAATAGTTAAATATGTATTTTTATATTATTTTTAATGGGTTTTGACTAATTAACGACCGCATAAGCTGCTGCCAAGAGCCTCGGACATGATAAAATTTATTTAGATTCGGTAATATTATTTTTCTTTTAATTGAAAACACTTTTGAATGTTTATTAATGCATTTTGTTGTTTATCCGTTTTCAGTCATTGTGCTCTTGACACGGAAAAACAATATAAGAATAGCAAGACATACCGCAATTTTCACTCACTCGTTCATCCATCCATACATAGAGTCATACTCTCACACATTCTTTTTTTATTTTCGTAAGACGCTTCTTGCATAATGATGTGGTTCCATCGATGGTTGATAATATTCTCCTTGGGATTAAGACTCGTGCTGGTAAATGAGTGAACTTGTTGGCGTAAACTATGCTAGGATCGTTGGATTGACGATAGTCTAAAGGTCCCATCACTGTTGAACTAGATATAATCACTAAACATAGAGATGTCGATACGCCATGATTATTTTTGGAGTCATTTTGGTGTTGATGCATTTGGGCGGGATCTCTTAAGGAAATTGCATATATACGTGTATGTGTATGTGTGTGCTAACGTTCTCATTCATCTTCGTATGCATGCTCTTGCTTGATTATGCAATTGGTTGAACGATGAGCACTCACAAACGAGTATTACCATCATATCTATTTTACTGTGAATAATCTTGGACTATTCGCAATTAAATTAAATCATTTATAATCATTTCAGTGCTTTTTTTTCTTCAAAAGAGGATGATAGACTAGTTAAATGGATACTTAGCAACGTTTATCAACGTCTTATACACAACAAAAAGATGAAGAATCACAGCGAGATGATTTTTCCAACGAATTTAATGTAATATAAAATTCGTTGAACTTGCAAAAGATTCCACTGGGACTTGGATCCATTTGGAATGGGCCGGGTATTTTATTTTATTGATTAAAGATGATTGAGTAAAAGATTTCTTCGTGTAAAACACAACGGCATTCATCGGCAGCAACGAAAATCTATTTCTTGATAACTTTCAATCTCCTTATCGATCAGTTTACTAACCAATCGTTCATCTTTTCGCCGAGATTCAAGACTAGCCATGTGTGATTGGTATTCAACCGTTCAAAATTCAGCAAATTCTTTGGCGCACTTTTCTGTGCTTGAGATTCTTAATGGTTCTTCTTCGTAATCATCGAAATTACTGGTATCACCAGGTCCTTTACATTTAGGTAAGAAAGGTGCTTCGATCCTCTTCTGGAAGACTGCTATCCAATCAGTGCTAGCAAACCATTTATGTCCTTTAATGTCATTGACACCAGCTTTTAGATTGCCATACCTTTTGGTCAGATCAACTTGAAGGAGATTACGGAGTAAATCTTTCAGATCTGATCCAAAGTGTGATGGAAATCGAACTTTTCCGCTGACAATCTTTTCGTAAATTTGAATTGGCTGATCAGCAAAAAATGGAGGATAACCAGCAGCCATTTCATAGACTAAAACACCAAGTGCCCACCAATCTACAGCCTTGTTGTATCCTTTACTAAGGATTATTTCTGGTGCTAAATATTCGGGTGTTCCACATAAAGTCCACGTTCTTCCTTTCACCTTTTTAGCGAAACCAAAGTCAGTGACCTTGAGGTAACCTTGAGAGTCAATAAGAAGATTCTCAGGCTTCAGATCTCTATAAATAAGATCTAAGTAATGTAAATACTCAAAAGCGAGGACTATTTGAGCTGCATAAAATCGTGAATGTGGTTCAGAAAATCGGCCAACCTTTCGTAGATGACTAAACATTTCTCCCCCAGGTACATATTCCAATACCATGTATAAATTTGAGTTGTCCTTGAAGTGGAAACGTAAAGAAACAAGAAAAGGAAAGTTGATAGCTTGGAGAATTCTTTTTTCATTGAGCGTATGCTCTACCTGCTTGAGCTTGACTACTTTCTGCTTATCCAATATCTTCATTGCATAATACTCCTTGGTCGGTTTATGTTGTACTATCATGACTCTGCCAAACGAGCCAGTCCCGAGCGTTTTAATCCTTTCAAAGTCATCGAGACCTGCCGTATTGGTAGGATTCTTCTTCCATTTTTCTTCAAACTCTTCCTTTGCTTCATCAAGGTATTCCTTGACACTTTCAGCAGGATCCACCTTTTTATTGGCTGTCGCGGCATTGTTGCCCATTTTTCCAGCCCCGCTAGAGCCTGCTAAGGCTCCACGGATATCAAATTTCTTCAGAATTTCTGCGGTTTTAATTAAAACGTTTGAAAGAGAAATTCACTCCTGATCTAGGAGTGTTTTTATCAAGATTTGAAGCTTTTTATGTTAAAGCTTCAATCACTAAGCGCGTGACACACCGCTCGATTTCTCACAAAAACTCTCCGGGGGTCAACAAAATAGGTCAACACTCCTCGTCGGCACCTTGCGCCATCTTTCCTGTCAATTACAACCGCCACTGCCGTCTCTAAGCCACTGACGACAGTTTAATTGTATGTACTTGATAACGCAATAAATCCACTTTTGCTTTATTATTATTATCTCCTCACTAACCACTCTTTCTCAATCACTCTTATTTCACTTCAATCAAGACTAAGTGAAAAATTATAAAACCACACTTTACTCGTTCGCACCGTGTACGCTTAACCCTCAGAGCCCGCTTCAAACCGAAGACGTCGGCACACTGTACACCACTCTACACTCCGTAGACCACCACCACGAACGCCACGAACGTCACACCAGAGAGGCGACAACCTCACGTCATCCACACACTAACATTTGTTTAGCTATTAAGATTTTTATACGTCTTTAGCAGTTAAAGACGAAATATTTATTGCTTTTATACTTTTACAGCTTTACAGCTATTATTACTGAATGAATTATGTGTACAGTGTTTGTACTTAATGCTGTACAAACGTGAAAATGAATGAGAGTTCTTTATTGACAAGAGTCTCATGCACACACTGACTCACACTATTACACGAACGAGCAGCTACTACTTGAAACACCAGTCAACTGAAATTTACATTTGTTGACTACTGATGGTAATTCTTAGTCTCTTATTTTACCGACCGTCGATTAATCTCAAATTTCCCGCTAAAGCCGAGTACCAAGAATTCAAACAATCAAAAAATGGCTGAAAAAATTTACCTTAAAAAATTTTAATCCGTTATTATAATCCAAAAATGAGCTGAATATTATCCATTATGACTCAGTAAACATACTTTTACTCTTATAATACAAAAAATAATATAAAACACTTGATTTTTAATATTAAAACACTAAAATAAAATACAGAAGTTTACTGTATAGGAATTAGCATCACAATATTCGTTAAAACTATTTACACATAAATTGTCACATTTAACACACTTAAACATTTGATAAATAATTAAAATTTGATAATACAATAATTTAATAACTTTTTGATAGAAAAAAAAAAGATACTCCAAAAAATTTCAGACCAAACGTTACACCGGCAAACGCGACAGTCAATTGACGCACTGGACATGCGCATTGCGGAGCAAACCGGAGTGGAATCGAAGTGACGTCTATCGGCAGCAATTCAAACTCATCTGTTTGAAATGTTAACGGTCATTTCAACTCCATGCACAGAAATAAATTTTCTTGTCAGTTTCATGAGTTAGTGACGCTCAAGTGCGGCTTTTAATCATTATTTAATATAAATAATTCAATCCACTAATATTTTTACCCTATAAGACTCTAAACAAAGTACAAAAAGTAGATTTTAAGTGATTCAAGTGAGTATAAACAATCCATTGACATTAAATCATCATTTACATTAGTTGGACTACATGACTACAGTTAAACAAACTCCAAAAAATTCTTTATTTATTTATACTAACGATAATTTGTTTTGATAGAATTATTTATTAGACAATCTTTAGTATTTATTAATTTTGATAAAAAAATTTAAATAATTATAATACTGAATATGTCGCACTTGAGATATCAAAAAGAATTAAGTAACTTGACTAGAATGGATGAAGCTATTAAAGGACCTATGCCTCGTTGGCAGAAAAAAAGTTTAGAATCTTCAAATTTAAAGTAAGAAATAATTTATCAATTTTCGATATAATCAATAAATTCATAATAATTAATAACTTTTTTTCTATATAAATTATAGCTCCAATAGTTCAAGAAAGCCAATGAATAATAGCTCAGTAGCTAACATCAGTGTTGGAAAAACTCCTACAAAAAGAACTGAAATACGAACAAAAAAGACTCCAAAAAGTGCTAAAAAATCTCCAAGTAAGTTGAATTTATTTTTAAATAGAATTCATTATTAATAAACACCAAATTTTGTTGATTTTTTTCATGTAATTGAACGACTTTTTAACTAAATAATCATTTTATAGGCCGTGCAAATGGAACAACACCTGCTAAAACTCCCAGTGGTGGAGATAGATTCATTCCTTCTAGAACTACAACAAACTTTGATTTAGCTTATCATAAGGTATTTCATATAATTAAACTTTTTTATCAATCTCGTACCTTTATTTTAATCAATTTTAATATACTTCAGCTTCAACAACATAATTCTGATCAAGATGATAAAAATGATTCCACAAGTCCTTCTAAGAAAGAAATGCAAAGGCTAATTGGGGAGAATCTTGCTGGAGGGGATTTTAGTAATGTTAGAGTTCTATCGTATCAAAATAAAGCACCAGCACCTCCTGAAGGGTATCAAAATCCTTTAAGAGTTGTTTACAGTCAATCAAAAACACCAGCAAGTGTGAAAACTGCTACAAGATACATACCTCAAGCTCCAGACCGGATATTAGATGCACCTGAAATTGTTGATGACTATTGTAAGTCATATTAAAATTATTGAATATATTTGATTAATTGTTTATGAATCATTTTTAAAAATATTTTATTCCAATTCTAGATTTGAATTTAGTTGATTGGTCATCCAGCAATGTTTTAGCGGTAGCTCTTGGATCAACTGTTTACTTGTGGAATGCTGCAAGTGGAACAATTGAAGAATTATTTGAATTAGATGGCAACGACTATGTTTGTTCAGTAGCATGGATTCAAGAAGGCCCTTATCTAGCGGTAGGAACACCAACAGGTAACACCGAGCTCTGGGACTGCAGTCAAATGAAACGAGTTAGGATAATGAATGGACACGCTGCTCGTGTTGGATCTCTAGCTTGGAATGCTCATATTCTCAGCAGTGGATGCAGGTGAATATATATAAATATATGTTTTTGAAATATTGTAATAATTTCTAAAATTCCAAATGAGTTTTTATTTTTATTTATTTAAGATCTGGTCAAATCGTTCATCACGATGTCCGACAACGAGATCATTTGGTTTCTTGTATTAATGCTCATGCTCAAGAAGTCTGCGGGCTTAAATGGTCACCTGATGGCAAGTATCTTGCTAGTGGAGGTAATGATAACATGCTACAAATATGGTCCGCTGTTGGAGGTCACAATCATGCCCAACGTCAACCAGTATTTTCATTTAATCAACATCAAGCTGCTGTGAAAGCTCTTGCATGGTGTCCTTGGCAGTCAAATATTCTTGCCAGTGGTGGAGGAACTGCCGATAGAACAATTAAATTTTGGAATTGTAATAATGGTAAGCTCTTTATTTTTATTATTTATTGTGATCATAATGAAGTTATACAAACAGTTGATTTTTCTCTAACATTGAATTAATATTTTAAGGTTCTTGCGTCAATAGTATTGATACCAAATCTCAAGTCTGTTCACTACTCTGGTCAACAACCTATAAAGAAATAGTATCAGGTCATGGATATGCACAGAATCAGTTGATAATTTGGAAATATCCATCAATGAATAAAGTAGCAGAATTAACGGGTCACACAAGTCGTGTCTTACATCTTGCTATGTCGCCAGATGGAACAACTGTACTCAGTGCTGGTGCTGATGAGACTTTAAGACTATGGAAATGTTTCCAACCTGATCCTCATAAAAAGAAAGAACATGTTGAAGTAAAGTCTGTCGCCTCTAAATTAAAACAATCGATTCGATAACAAACCGATATGATAACTAGAAAATTTAAAATAATTATCAACAAATTGACGAAACCTTTATTTACTGCTCATAAATTTAAATTAATATAATTTAAAGTAAATAATTGTTGGTAGTAATGTTATTATTTCGGACTGAATAGAAATTAATAGATTTGGCTTTCAAATTTATTTTTCTTTTAACAACGCATAAATATTTAAATCAAACAGTAATTAATAAAATTAAAAAAATTGACATTTTATTTTTATATTTTTATACAAATAATTTAATAGTACAAGCTAAATAAACATGTTTTCCGACTGTTTATAGGAAATAAGTTTAAGCATTGTTTTAAGAAAAATGTTTGTATCATAGATTTTTAATAAAGGATACCTCAATCATATATGAGTATTGTTATTAAGTTTTAAAAAAAATTGACACTAATAAATAATAAAAACATTCAATTTAATACCTAAAAAAATAGTTGAGTAATAGTACTATAAGCGATAAATTGAAAAACAAAATTTATTCACAATGTTTATAAGATATAAACTCTGAAATTGCATAAAATAAAAGAAAGTTCAACCAATTAATCTTACTCGTGATCACCTACGCTCGGTTTACAAAGGTAAAACCTGTTGAGTAATGCGTAGGATTAGGGATACTAACGTGTACTTTATATTCTTAATCCCCACTACGCATAGTGGTAAAAAAAATTACCTTCGTTCCCTTGAAGCCTACACCACTGTCAAAGAAGGCAGGTATAAGCCGGTAATCATCTGACCCATAGTTTTACTTTTTTTTCACAGGATTCAGAAGACTTAAGTTTGATTTACACAAACCCAAGCCAGACAAGTTCAACACTAAAAAACTCTAAACGAAGAAAATGGGCTATTGTTTATTTTTTATTTGATTTATTAATCAAAAAATTAATTTTTTATTCATTAATTGACCATTTAAATAAGTTATTGAAGATAATTGAAATATACAATGGATATACCGGGACCTTCGGGAATATCAGGAAGGTTTGACGTAAGATCGAATGTAATTACAGTAAACACAAACGATGTTCGTGAAGACGATGATAGTGAACAGTGGTGGACAAGTGACAGTGGATCTAGTAGTGGTTCTTATTATTCTGACAGTGATAGGTAAATAAATAATTTTTTATAACAATAATTTACAATATCATATTTTTTCAAAATTTATTTGGTAAAAAATTTTACTTAAGTTTCTTTTATAAAAAATATTATTGATCGTCATGAGAATAAATCAATTTATTGAAAGATTGATGATTGAAGAGCTTTTTTTATTTATGTCTGTAGTAGCTGCAGTTCATTTGCAGAATGGGAAGCGGAAATTGGTCCTGGGGGAGAAGTATTTTATATAGAATCTTTTCCGGAAACTCCAGGGAGTAATACAAAATCAAATAATAATAGCAAGGAGTCAGAGTCCCCACCTCCAGAATTGATAAGACGTCGCAGCACTAGGGCGCAAAAATTGATGAGATTAATAAGAAGAAGAGAGAGCAAAAGATATAGTACTAAGGGAAAAAAATCAAAGGGTGCTGATTCTAAACAAGTTGATGGAAATACTCAAAAAGAAGGAAGTGGAAAAGAAGTTAAATTTCAAGATTATCAGGTGATTAGATGAACCGTTATAAATAATTGAATAATTTTTTATTTTAGCTCATTAAAATTTATTTTGTTATTATCAGGCAGGTGAAATAAAGGAAGTTATGCTATGGGTAAATCCAGAAAGACGACACAATTTAGGCCGCCGAGCAACAATGTGTGAAGTTTATTTAGGAATCACTCCAGGGAATTTCTCAGACAAAGTCAGAGTAATGGTTGCAGGATTTATTCCTGACAGTGAAGCAATGATGAACAAAAACATCAAGATTGGTGATTGGTTAAGAAGCATAAATTCTCAAGATGTTACATCTGAGAATCTTGATTACATTCTTTCAGAAATAACCAGTCCAATGATTGTCAAACTTCAACTCCAAAGAATAGCTGGAATCGAAGTCACTACAGATGCACCACTGTCAAATGTTCCAAAGCAGTCACCACTTGTTCGTCGATTGGTGGACAAGGAAAGAAGCCAAAAATTTATGGAATCGTTACTCGATTATTCTTTTGGAGTAATATATCTCCAAACATCAGGTTTGTCTGAAGCAGGTCCCGAACTCCAAGGAGTTTTATATACATATCCGAGATCTGAAAATAAAAATCTCCACTCAATTTTATGTAATGCAAGAGGAGCTTTTATAACTTTAAATCATTTACTGCCAGAAACAGTTAATGCATATCCAATAAGCACTACCATTTCTGTGGGAAGCGAAAAAATCCACATCTCCTATGCTCCTAGAAATGATGAATTATTTCTTTTAGCCATTCCAGAACGATGGTTTAGTTGTGAGGAATCAATAGAATTATTAAAAAATATTATTCGATCATTAGAATTTACATATCAATCATTAAATAAATGCTTTTCTAATGAAGATCATCATCATGATTTAGATCATTTATTTTACTTAACGTTTATTAATTTATTACAACTTAATCCTGATGATGAATCATCCGAAGAAGAGCTATCTTTAAAAAATGTGATAGATCGAAGAGAGAAGTGCGAATTTGAAACAATAATTGGAGCAGCTCATCAAGTAACTCTGCCAAGAGATGCTCTAATACAAATTGATACAGCTTTAAATGATTTAGAAGCTTTGGATGAAGATTGGAACGATGATTCAATGGATTGTGAAAGATTTTTTACATTTCTTGGTGCTTGTATTTATCATAAAAGCTATCTACTTGCTTCTCATTTACCACATGGTGACTTAATGGATGTTCATGCATTTCTTCAGGTCAATGGACTTTTAAATCTAATTGAGAATGAACCTGTTAAAACAATGGTTATTTGGAAAGAAGTATTTCCCCATTCATCAAATCGTGGTATGGAGAATTCAGCATTATATGATGAAACAAACACCAAATGGTTTATTCTAGTCGTTGGATATGAAACGGAATTACTTGTGGCAATTTTAGAGAGTGAAGGTTGTACTGAAGTTAATGAAGATGATGAAGGACCAGATATTTTTTATGTAGAAGAAGCTCAAGAAACTTTGAAACATATTCAAAGAGTTGGAATCCCTACTTTAGCTTCAAAATGGGTTCTATCTAATGCTAAACCCGAAACGATAGATATTAAAGATAGAATCAGTGTTAAAACAACCATTGCAGAAAATTTATTAGGTTTTATTAAATCTTCTGATAATCAAAATTCGACACCGAAGAATACAGTAAAAGAAAGTGGAAATAAAAAGGTTCCTGAAGTGACATCGATACTGAAAAAAAGAAGTCCTGAACAAAGTCCAATAATGATAAATTCAGGTAATTCTTATTTTTCAATTATTCTCATTGATCTTAAAACTTTTATTAATATATTTTAATTTTTAGTTTATTCATTTCAATCTTCTGAAGACACAATGAGTCAGAGCACTGGAATAAACAGCGAAATGAGTGATGAAGCAGCTCCAATTTTAGGTAGACGTGCTTTAAGAGAAAAAGCATTGGCTGTAACAAAATATTCAGATGAGAGTGATGAGTCTGAAGATGACATGTATCGAGTAAGACATTATAATGATACTGAAAATTTTTGTTTAAGTAGAAAACAAATAATTAATCATATTAATTATTTTTGCAGGATGAAAGCCAATCTAGTATAGCTGATATTTCTGACATACGTGAAAACTTATTAACTCAAGCTGAATATATAATTCCTATGCGATTGACAACTGGAGAAAAGAATTGTCTATTATATTTTGTCCACTTAGATACATTTGAAGGAATATTAATGTCATCTAGGACAGTAGAAAACCCAGAGAAAAATTCAGAAATTATTGCAAAATTCAATGAATGTGCTCATACAATTCATAAATTATTAAGCAATACAGTAAGATACAAAAAAATGGTTAAAGAAGATGAAGATACTTCAGCAGTTAACAAAAATCTTGTTACAATAAAAGAACACGGAGTCTTATTTGAATATGAGAACGTAACATTTTGGGTGATTGGCCGATTATTTGAAGCTCCATATGCAAAAGAATTTTATGTTTGCTATGAAGATTCTGCTCCTCAAAATTTAATAGAAATGGCATTTCGACTTCAGGGTACATGGTTGTAAAAATCATTATGTTATTTTAAGAAATATTAGAGATACATTAGAAAATAAGTAAGAAGTAACTATTAAATAATGTAAATAGCATCAAGAAAGTACAAATAATTTTTTAATATTACTTGCAATATAAGAAATAAACCCGTCGTTTATATTGAGTGATAAAAATCCTTGAAATATTAAGAACAAGTAATAAAATTGAATATTCATGTAAATAAGATATTGTTGAAAATGAATGATTGATGAATCAATCAGTTTTATTCTTAATAATAGTCATAATAATGTATAAATATTCATTTTTTTTATTACTTCGGTTAGTGCAAAATTTTTATTTGCATCTTATTAATTAACAAACATTATAATCATTGTTGCCAGCAACATAAAATTAATGAATCGTTCAATGCATGGTGTATATATTTATATAATAATTAATACTTAATTGCTTAGAAAACTTATCATTAAATATTAGTAAAAATTCTAGGAAATAAATATTTTATACTTTTTTGTTATAAATTATTTGTATGATCAATCACAGCCAATGGCTCTTTATTATCAGTATGTTTGCGTTCTGAAACAGTAGTTGAAGATAATTTATTCGGTTTAACTTTAACTACTACTGAAGCTCCAGCCATTTTACTCCCATAATGGCCAGCCCAAAAAAGGCAGTCACATCCACCGTCTTGAAATAAAATTTGTTTAACGCCAGTTCCATAGTTTGTAAATTCATAGGTAAACTAAAAAAAAAATTAATTACTATAAATTAATTAAATAATAGTACACCAATAAATTTTAGAATGAAATTTTACATGATGCCATTTATTCTGTTTCTCATCTCCTTCAAGAATATCACGAAATTTGTGAGATTTAAGTGTTTTATTATTTTCATCTAGGAGGGCAATGAAACATTCGTATGATGCAGGGCAATCCCATCTGCAACTATACCATTCACTTACCTATAAAGAAATTCAACTTTTATTTCAAGTGTTTTAATTAATTTGTAGACATTTTAATGAAATGATAATAAAATTTTAAATAACAACTATACCACAATAGGAGGTTGAAACGTGTCTAACAAGTAAGGCGACAATCCTTCTTCAACTAGGTTGATGATTTGTCTTTTAGTACATGTAAAATAACTAGTGACAAAACAACTTTGATGTCCTTCGAAAACAGGATCATCAGGTAACGGAGGTACTCCATTAGGAGGATTTTCCACTTTCCAATGATCTCCTCCTTGACTAACAATTTGCCAGTCTTTTTTTAATCCATTCTGACCAGAATGATTCTTAACTAGATTTTTATCGAATGGATTTTTTTTACATATTACATAATATACTGGCCATGGCATGTCCTTAATGCATTGAAGTGACTGGCCAAAGATCATTTCAGCCTTTTTTCGCCAAACATATTCTTGGATTAAAACTTTCCATCTTTTACATACAATTTGACAGTTGAGCAGTGATTTGTAATCAACGTAACAAAGTAATTCTGCTAATAGTTCTTCAGGTATATACTTGTCACATAAAACAAAACCATTATTACCATTTTCATCGTAAGCAACTCTCGTAGAAGATGTAGCATTTTGGAGCTGACCCATTGTTTTAGATATAATAAATGAAATAAAACTGTAAATTTAAATGAATAATTATAAAATAAATTTTGATTAAAATTTGTATTAAAACAAAATCATACTAAATCATGTGTCATAATTACCAATAAAGATAAAAGTTAGATTGAACTTACTTTAGCATATCAATGTAACCTCTCACTACACACTGAAACAATTATTTAATACTGCAATTGTATAACGAATATTCCATTTTATTCGTTAACACTTTTTTTAAGAATATTACTAAATCGTTGATTCTATTCGTAATGATGATCGGAATTTAATGTTACTTATTTTCGATGACTCAATCTTACAAAAACAAACGATTACAGTGAAAGGCTCATATTCATAGGTATATCCAACGTAGTAAAGAATATACGTGTTATTTATCTATCTCGTATGTACGATAGTTGTGTTGGTAAAAACAGCTTTAGAAAATACATTCACACCAAATGCAGCATTCACTATGTACACATGGTTACCAGCCGTATCACATGATGAATGTATGGTCACCTTAAATTAATATTAAAGAGCATGTGATGGAAAAATATCATAAATAAAAATAATGCGTAATAATTATTTATGATTAATGACTCATACTTAAATTTAAACATTTATGAATAATTATAATAAAAATAAATAAAGAAAACTATTTTTTTCTCTATAGACTATTTTTTTGTTTGTTATTTTCTAAAATTATTTTTATAATAAAACCTTTAAAATTAATGAAAGTCAAGGGTTTTTCAATAATGATAAAAATTCCAATTTTTGCTCACCACAATGTATTTGCATTATTAAAATACATAATTTCGTACCATTAATATTTAAAGGAAATAGGTACGTGGTTTACGTACGCTGAATAGAGGCATACGATTGCGATGATGGATTCGCTTAGGCAATGGGAATCTAATTTTAGAGTCATGGAACTGTTTAACTTGCGGCCTACGGCAATTAGCAGCTTTAACCACTTCAACTTTAATTATTTGTATCGAATGAGCCCTAGCACGGTGACGAGCTCCCATATCACGATAACACTGAGTAACAGCTCCACTGACTGAAAGATCTCTGTATTCTCTGTACATATTGTGAGTACCTGATCGAGAATCATACCTCAACCAAATTCCAAAGTTTTTGATCTTGGTTGGAGTTTTTTCTGGTATCTGGAAAATGAATAATATTAATTAGAAATTATCATATTATAAATAAAGCAAGTAAATAATCTAACTATTAATAAGGCATAATATTACAATAAGTATTTTTTTTATCAATGAAACTTTCATCGGATAAGCATGTACGAGTTGATTGTTGAAGTAATATGCTCACCTGTTTAAGTGAAACAATTTCACCGGTAGATTTTTTGAATTTTTTCAATTGTCTCAAGAAATACCAGAAACGAGATTTAGCAACAATTGCATCTGGTGCAAATATCCTCATTTTATAAAGAGGAGTTGTCTTCTCCTTCTCAGTTGGAAGTTTCCTTCCAATGACTTCATATTCTTTCAACTGAAACAAAAATATTGATGTATTGTAGGTTATCTACATGAAACCATAACAGATTTAACTATTGATTATAAAATAATTAAACATTATAATGAAAGTATATTGAAAATTTGTAATGACTATCAATAAATTGATATTTTATGTAATTATTTTGTTCAATAGATGAAGAAAAAAAATTTGACAAATGATATGGAATCCACGCCATGCTGAATGGATAACCTTCAAGCCAACAAAAATATTACGATATCTTAATCAAATGCGGAAAAATTGTCCACTAATGACTCATATATGAAATATTCGTTCATAAAAATTGATTTAAAATATATTTTTTATCAGAATTATCAATTTTTTACAAGAAATAAGCTTACTTCTCCCTTTGCTTTCATCGTGTCTTGAATCTACACGAGTGTAACCGGAAAAAGAAATTATAGATGGCGGAAATCATACACTATAATTTACTATAGTTTATGAAAAATCTGTAGCTTGTTCCAAATGACGCTTCATAGCTGATAGGAGCCATTTTGAACTTTGAACATGCGTTTATAATTCATGTAAACGTATGTACCGTATGCATATTGAATCGTTATAAAACGATTTTTAACGTACATGAAAGTACTACTCGGCGTAGTGTACATCGTGTCAGTTATTGGTTCTTTTTACAAAACCTACATTACAGCAATACAAAAATATATTTCATAGCGACATGAGAGTGTAATGGCGTTGGTACTACAAGGAACTTGCCTCGTATCCATTTGTGCTGTTACCAATCGTTCAGGATTGTAAAGGAAAATTTTCAAGTCAGTGCTGACAACTCTTTATTAATTAACATTCTTTTATGTATATTATTTTATCAAACAACAAAATAAAACAAAAAACAATAAGATTATTTATATCAAATTTTTCAACACAACCCATTGATAATTGTTGAAAAAAAAGAATTTGTTTCAAATTGAATTTACGTAATTCCATTCATGGTTTCAGTAATTAGAACACTAACTTTTCGATTACTTTTACCTTAACACTTCTCTATGTTCAACGGACTGATTTTTAAACTAATCATGTATATAGATTTAAAGGTAGTTTAATATTTAATTCTATTTTTTTTTTTAAATAAAATTTAACAATGACTTTAATAATTAGATTGTGATCTTATCACTTACTGACATAAAGTTTTTGAATGATTCTATAATCTTAATATTACATTATTGATATATTCTTTTAAATTACATATTAATTGTTTTTTTCAATCAATGTAGGTATTACAAAGATGACAACAGATTCCAACAAAGATTCTACGCATTGTTTAATATGCAACAGCAAAGTTGGAGTCTCAACGAGAAATAGTGTTCGAATTTTCGATGCAGCAGTAAATGTTGATCTAAATAAACCAATTTTAAAAACCATTGGTTCGATTTTGGAAAAAGAAATAGTTGAAGAAAATGCTCACTCTGATGTTGTTTGTAAAAAATGTTTCAAGTTATTTCATGAGGTAATTTTATGTTATAAAATAATAAAGCTAGTTTTACAAAAAAATTTTGATGTTAAATATTTATTTAAATTATTTTTGATTGAAATATTTTTACAGTATGATGAACTCCAAAATCGAACGTCGGAAATAAAAAAAGAAGTATTAAACAATTATAACAGAACGATGAAGAAAATTACGGAGTTACATGCGGAAGAGGAATATAATGATCATGATTATATAGATCATGACGATAATCAATTATTAGAGGAATTTTCACCAACTCCGAGTGACACCAAGTTTAAGACAGATGATAATTTCAATAAAGATGAATTAACAGAAGAACATCTCGATGAAGAATACCTTCAGGAAATTCATAAAGAAGAAGAAGAAGAAGAACAAATAGAAATGGATGAAGAACATGTAGATGATCCTCTCATTAAAGTTGATATTTCTCAAAATGATATAGAAGTGAAACCATTACAAGAAAAGAAGAAAAAAGAGTATAATAAAAAAATTAAAACTATCAAAGAAGAAATTACTGAGCCAATAGTTTCTAGAGATGACAATACTTATTTTTGTCTCTTGTGTCCTGATGAAGAGCGTGCCTCTGGAGAACCTAAGCAAATCATAGAACACATGAAAACAGTTCATGAAACTCGCTTATATATTTGTGATATTTGTGGAATGGATTTTAGAAAAAGAAATGAATTAACTGTTCATTTAGATGAACACATAGCAAAAGAAGAAGGTGATTTCCAATGTGAAGTTTGTAATAGAATATTCAGTAATTTAAGATTATTTCGAATTCATAAAAGAGTTCATTATCCTCAAAATAAATCTTGGCCTTGTGAAACGTGCGGTAAAAGATATAGCTCAAAAAATTTGTTAGATGAACATGTGAATAATCATATTGGTATCAGGCCTTATATTTGTGAAACTTGTGGAAAAGATTTTGCATCAAAATATACTTTTAAAGCTCATGTAAAAACTCATGAAGTTCGTCCAAGACCCTTTGAATGTCTTCAATGTAATAAAACATTTTTAAGTCAACAGAATCTTAATCAACATGAAAAAACACATTTAGGCCTAAAAGAATATATTTGTCAACAGTGTGGGAAAGCTTTTGGGTCTCAGCATAATCTAGAAGTACATAATATCGTTCATACTGGCTACAAACCGTATATTTGTAGAATGTGTGGTAAGGCTTTTGCAAGAAAAGCTGAAATTAGAGATCATGAACGCACTCATACCGGAGAAAAACCTTATCAATGCGAGTTTTGTGGAGCAACATTTAGTCAAAGATCTAATTTACAATCTCATAAGCGAGCTACACATTATAATGATAAAAGATATAAGTGTGATGATTGTGGAAAGGGATTTAAAAGACGAAGATTATTGGACTATCACATAAAAGCAGCTCATACGGGTGAAAGACCATATAAATGTGAAACATGTTCAGCAACATTTGTTTATCCTGAACACTTTAAAAAACATATGCGCATACATACAGGTGAAAAGCCTTATTTATGTGAAGTTTGCGGTAAAGCGTTTAATAGTAGGGATAATAGAAATGCCCATAGATTCATTCATAGTGATAAGAAACCATACGAATGTTTAGTATGTGGTATGGGATTCATGAGGAAACCTCTTCTATATACTCACATGCAGTCGCAAGGACATTTAAACGATACAATTGTTGTTAATCAACCAAGATTGACTACTGACGAAGAGCAAGTAATTGCAATTCCTGAGGATGTTCAATTGTTAATTAACGATGGAGAAGATGTAAGACCCTGAATACAATTTTTTATTATTTATTTGTTAATATTATTTATTGGTAAATTTTTCTCTTTTAAGTTGGAAGAAACTGGGTTGTATGTAGCTGAATTAAAGGACCATGTAATTATTCAAGAAGGTGAGGAGCCAATGTATGCAGAAGAGGATGCTCTAGATATTTCTCCTGAAGAAAATATCTCACAAGCTCAAGTAGAACATATTGTTGTTAATAATCAGGTAAATATTAATTTTTTATTATTCCAATCAATACTTGTTTGCACTATTAGTATAATTTTTGTTTTCTTTTAGATAGCATTTTCGGAAGGAGATATGATAGAATGTAAAAGAGAAACAAATGAACAAGATGAACAAGTATACAGTTATAATACAGGTGATGAAACGGAGACAATAGTTGTACCAACAACGACAGATTATAAAAATTTAATAAGTAATAACAAAAACAAAGTTCGATTGGTACAAATAAGAATTCCACCTGACTCTGGCGTAGAAGGTAAAAGCTGGCTTAGTCTTGTACAGAACTCGTAGGCTGATTTTTACGTATAAATTTTCATAATTAATTAATTATTAATAAATAACAATAATTTTTATGTTTAATGTATGTTATTTACTTGTAAAATATGGGAATCAGAATCTTGTTTTATTCATCTATTTTTTATGAATAAACAAATTAAAGATAAATACCTAGTTTTAATTATTTAGCATTAAAATTTATTTTACAGTTATTTTTAACTCTATATGAAACAAAATCTTTCAATCTAAGATCCTGTGCTAGATATTTTCTGCTTCCAGTACAACTAATACACGAATAATGTAATTTTTAGAATTTTTCTTTCAAAAAAAAATAAAAGATACGAATAGTATGCTTTATGCTAAATAATATTACTGTAGGGAGTTTCATTTGCTGATGTTTTATGAGAACAGATATTCTTCTATTCAAATTACTCTGTGGCTCCCGCTCTTTTGGATGACGCCGCAAAGAAAACAAAATCCCGCGCATTTGGTCCATTAATACTTTCTGCGTGTTGTTATAAAATTTCTTTGTTAATTTTTCAGTGTATATTGGTTAATTTTGAATTACATTCAAAATGACCACACAAAAAGTGACATACGGAATGGGTTTGTATTAATAATCATTAAAGTATAAGTAAATAAATATTTTTATCAATATATTTATTTAACTGAAAATTTGGTTATTACAGATGCTGGTGCACAGCAAACATTCGTTAGGTTTTTCAGGAATCTACCTGAGGTAGGATATTAGAAAAATGTTTTCTATTAGTTATTGTTTATTATTTTTATAATACTAATGGTTGAGCACAATTATGCATTACTTTCTTCACAACATTATTTTTATCTTAATACATATAATTACCGAAACAACATATTGCATGTTAAAAAAAATCTTATAAACTAATTTATTATTAACTTATTATTATCTTATAGCAAACAAAAAAAATCTTCAAAGCTATCAAAATAAACATATACTATATAGTTCATTAATGATACAAAAATGACACTTAAAAATTATCCAAAGGCATCATTAACTTTTGCCTTAACTTTTTCAAATCCTGTTGTTATTTTTTGTCCAACTTTCTTCCAAAATCCTGGAGCAGGAGTTGTAGACATAAATTCAGGATATTGAGTTTGAGGTTCTAATGATTCAACATGTGCATTTAATTCTCCTGACCGAGTTTGATACTGCTGATCTTCTAAACTTAAAACACTTGATGATGAAGAGTCATATTGATTAGGATATGAAGGTTGTGGATTAAATCCTCCTCTACCTCCTTTAACACCCATGGGGCGATTTGCTGGTCTAATTTCTTGTCCTGAACCATAGCCTGGGTAGTTGTCTAGCTCAATATCAGATCTTTGAGTACTTCCAAGTAAATGATGCCTTGATATAGGTTTGGGGGCAGGTTGACTTACTTGAGAATGAATGTTTTGCTGTCCATATTCTGTATTTCCAGCTGTTTGTTGGGATGGATAGTAATGGTCATCATGTTGATTAAAATCTTCAGTTTGTTGATTTAATCCAATGCCTGTAGATTGACCGTATTGATTTTGGTCAAGTCTATGGCTTCCTGATTGCTGCTGATAGTAATCATCAAACTTCTGGGTTTGTTGGCTTAAATTTTCAGTCTGTTGATGTTGCTGATGTTCATCTAATTCAAGTTTTCCTGAGTGTCGTTGATAATAATCATCGTATGTTTGCTGTGTTAAATCTTCAACTTGTTGAGTCTCTTGACTTAGCTCCAAATTTCCAACTTGCTGTTGACTTGACCGTCCTCCATATTCTTGTTGTCGGTAACCACCATGCCTCTGTGTTTGCTGTGTTAAATCTTTAACTTGTCGATTTTGTTGATTTAACTCTAAATTTCCAACTTGCTGTTGATTGGACCGTCCTGAATAATCATGTTGCCGATAACCTCCATGTCTTTGGGTTTGTTGCGTTAAATCTTCTACCTGTTGTGTTTGTTGACTAAGTTGTGAATCTTCGATATGATGCCGTTGATGTTGATTACCAACCTCGAGTTGTCCAGAGTGTTGTCCATGATTTCCATGTCTTTGTGTTTGATGTATAGATTCTCTATTTTGTTGAGTTTGTGGATTCGAAGCCAAATTTCCAGATTGGTGTTGATCATGTCCCAAATGACCGGAAGTTTGCTGTTGTTGTCTGTAGCTTCCGTATCCTTGATTTGGTTGTTGTTGGTCGTAGTTACCATATTTTTGCGTAAGATCTTCAACTTGTTGAGTCTGTTGACTCAATTCTAAATCTTCAGTTTGCTGTTGATCATCTGGATTTAGATATCCTGTTGGTTGTTGTTGTGTGTAATCTGCAAATCCTTGTGTCAGTTGTGTTAAATCTTCGAATTGTTGAGTTTCTTGACCAAAATCAGTACTTCTAGTCTTCCTTTCAGATTGTTCTATCGATTTCTGTGGTAATTGTTTATTAAATGATTCAGAATTTCTTTTATATCTTCTTTGGTAATTAGATCCAACTTGTTCAGTATCACAATCAGGAGTATCATGACCCAAATCAAGAACTCCTGTATGGAAATGTCCATTGTGACCGCTGTGGCCTCCACTATGACTTTCATAACGTTGATGGTACGAAGAAGAACTTCCCGATAAGTATCTATTACCACCGTAATGACTTGAACTGCCATAACTATCTTCATTTCCTCTAGTTGCATGTTGAGTTTCTAGATCTTCCAATTTTTGACTGCTACTACTAATGTGCTGAGGGTAAGATTCTTCTACTCGATGCCCTGAAGAGCTCCAGTTCTCTTCTAAACGTTTTCCAGACTGAGAAGAAATTTGTTGTTGTCTGCCATGATGTCCATAGCTATTCTGATGACTTCTATCATTATCTAAATAACTTTGGCTAAGTCCTGAATGATCTCTGACCTGCTGATGCTGTGTATAAATTCTTGAATCGTCTCTATCACTATTGTAATCATTTCCTGAACTTAAAGGAACGTGAATAAGACCATCACTGCTTCGATGATCTTGAGATCGGTATTGATTTTGATATTGTGCTTGGGACTGATATTCTTGACCATGAGCTTGATATTGATGACCTTGAGTTTGATAAGTTTGACTTGTTTGTGGGATAACTTGACTGGTAGGCCTATAAATTTCTTGCTGATAATGTTGTTGAGATTCCGAGGTTTGCATTTGATCAGGAATTACGTAATTTGTTTGACTTGGTACATAGCTGCCATGTGATTGCACACGATGTTCTCTTCTTGATGAATGTTGCTCATAATGTTCTTCTCTTGCTCCAGTTGTTGGACTTGGATATCTTTGATGAATGTCACTTTCAATACGTGAGTTATGTCTTGATTCATTATCACGCGTATTTTGATATTGAGTTTCATAATTATTTGTATTTTGAGACATTTGACTGTGATGCCCCCGATGAACTTCTCTGCTCAATTCTTCTAATTGCTTGTGAAGATTATAAGCTTGAGTATGAAGATCAGTTGACATGTCTGGAAGAGGAATAATTGGACTTGCATCACTGGAACTATAACTTGAAGTATAATTTTTCTTGTAATAATTAACTTTTGCTGGTCCATGAGTATATTGACCCTCTTCTTCATACACTCTACCATGTCCTCCATCAGTAACATAACTATTATGTCTACTCCAATTATCCGATCCAACATGTCCTTTTACTCCAGCACTTTCATGAACTGAACTAGTATCTGTTCGTCCATTATAGTCTTCAATCTTTGACGAACGTCCAGATTGATGGTAGTGGTCATTATATGAATTTTGTCTACCGTATGAAGCAGTATAGTTCTTTTTATAATATCGCATTTTTGAATTTCCTTTGACTACTTGACCTCGTTCTTCGTGGACTTCTCCAGCACCATCATGAGTCTTGTAGTCATTATGCTCCGTCCAGTTACCTGGACGGTTGTAATCTCGTTTAAGTTCATCAGTTAAATTATGTAAATCTCGTAAAGCTTCATTCGGTAAATGAATGGTACTCGGTGGACCACATAAATCTAGGCATCCACTTGGAGCTGATAAAGCTTGTGCAATTATGCAAACAATAATTGCAAGCTTCAGCATTTTGATGGTCTGAAAAATTGACCAGTTAAAATAATACTAGATAATTAATTAGAAAAATTATTACTAAAGAATAAAAATTTACCTTCGGATTAGACCAATAATCGAAAAAAAGGTATCAACTGTATTAATAAATATAGTTCAAGTCACAGCAATCTTTGATGCTTGATGTTTGATCTCTGATGTTCACAAGAAAAATATCAACAAACTTTTATGGTCGAGATGAGTGGTGATTCCACTTATATTTCTTTTCCCTCTCCCAATATAATTTTAATGACTTCGAGGGCATATTCTATCTTGTCATTCTCTTCCACGCTCTGACGTTTTCCGCGTCTGGATCATCACAACATGAGACTTTATCGAATTTAATTCTCAGTAAATTAATTCCTAAAGAAATGATATCTCTTTAGTGAAAAAAATATCGGTCTAGTTTTATGAAGCTAATAAACAATTTTTCAATAGATTAGTTAATTGCTTCTTTTTTATGAAGAATCTTTGATTAAATATACAGCAAAATATTATTTTATAAATACATATATTTTAGCCGTAAATAAACAGTTTGTACATTCATTTTTATAATTTGTGAATCAATTTCATTTTCTTAGAAAAATTTTCATAACCACTGTTACAATTAATTTTAACAATGCAGCTCCAAAGTTGGTTGGAGTGGGTTGGAGTTCTCCAGAACGTTCACGCTGATTTTGTAATTGTCTTTTAATTCCTTCAATATCGCGATGCGATTGAAAATCTGGATAATCTCTAACTTTGCGCACCAAAGGTTGAGCTCTTTGAAGTTTCAATAAATTTGTTGTTTGAGAACATTGATCATCACCACATTTGCTCATTATCACAGTATCATCACCCGTTGAAATTGGAATTGTTAGTGAAATTATACTGATAATAATTGCTAGGTTTAAAACATTGGACATCTAGAATAGTATTCAAAACAATTAATTTTAAATGATCTTTCATCTTTTAATTAAAAAATAATTATATTAAAATAAAAAGTTTACCTTTAATTTTCTTTATTTAAATAATAATCGTTATTGCTGGTTTTATATTTCAAATATAATTTTTTTGAAAACTTCATTTGCTAAAGTCTTATTTATACTAATTATCCCTCTTTAAATAAATTTAAATGTCATCGAAAGCATGCTATATCTTTGATATTTTCTTAGAATTTTGAATTTTCGCAGAATAATTTTAAAAATATTACCCATTATCATTTTATCAAGAATATACAGTAATTATTAATATCATTTGATAGCTATTTTTATATATTTTTCTGGTGACGGAATACATTAAGCCATATATTATAGACAGAGATGTGTCACGTGCATTGATTTATTTACCACATCCGTGTTCATCTATTAACTCTTTTTAAAATTCACTTTCGATCATCATTTCTATGTGTGACGCCAAGGATACTAGAGATTATATTTTATCCTATCTTCCCCTGTTTCTCTTAAGGAAGTATAAACATAAATTATAAATCATAAAAATAAATAAATACAATAATGAGATAGAATTCGTTGTCTTCTAAAGATTTTTTAAAGCCTATCAACAAAATCTGCTGGTGTACATAAATGAAATACTGGCGTGAAGTACATGATACCCTAATTCTGATAATAGTTGACCTGTCTTAGATATGAACTCTGGTCTTTTTATCATGCTACGACTTATTAATGAGCTTTAAGAAGCATGTGTTTTATGCATATTTCACAATGCGATGATTGAATTTCAATTTTATTACGTAAAATTTTAATAAAAATGTAAGTTAAATCAAGTCAACGTAATCCAAGTTATTAATGATGTTAATAATTGAAGGACATTCGAGTAGATCACTTACGCATAGAAAGAAGTGATCTCATTCAGAATAATTATGTAATAAATCTAAGTAATAATATATTAAATTTATTGAATAACTTATGAATTAATTTCAAATCTTGTTTTATTTGTGTACCTTATTTTTCTGGTAAGCTTCTCTGAATTTGCATGTGCATAACATGACCTGTAGCCTTATGACTTTTGCTGATAGGCATTAACCTCAAGATTTACGAGACATATTTAATTATAAAATTGGATTAATTAAACAGCTTTCAATTATTTAATTTCTTATGATATTTAAAGTAATATTTTAATCTACAAAGACATAATTGAAATGAATCATCGGGATTTCCTTAAAATTCATAAATATTTATGATCTAAAAATATTAAAACTAATAATAAGAATGCAAGAATAATGAATAATTATTGTTGTCAAATCAAGTGAAGATTTACATTTAGGTCAAGAATATATTTACTAGAATTGTTTTCTTTACAAAGAGGTCAAGGCAATTTTGATATTATTGATAATTTTTTTTGTGGGGAAAACAAACGGAAATACCCACTTTATTTTTAAATCTAAATATAATCTTAAATCATTGTTCAGTCAATAACATTTGATTATTTTGATTGAATTTCAGAAAGCATCCAGCACAATCCGATTCTTCAATAGAGTTGATTATTATACTTGCCATGGAAGTGATGCTACTTATGTTGCTAAAGAATTTTTTAAAACAACTTCTGTTTGTAAGATGATAGGAGCTGGTGAATATTAATACATATTCAATAAAATTTATAATTTATTTAATAATGTTTTTGAATAATTCAAAATTATTTACTCGATAACAGAGGGAAATAAAATCGAGGGAGTTCTGTTGAATAAAGGACAGTTTGAGGCATTCCTAAAAGAGCTTTTACTGGTTAAAAAATATAGAGCAGAAGTATATGTTCAAACAGGAGTTGGAAAAAATAAAACCTGGAACTTACAATATAAAGGTTCTCCAGGGAATTTAAGTCAGTTTGAAGATATTTTATTTGGAACTGATGATAACAATCCGACAGCCACTATTAGCGGAACAACGATGGCTGTGGTGATGGGAATGGATGGAAAATCCAAAGTAAGTTTTAATTTACTTATTTTACTGTAAATAAAGCAATAAATAAACATGATTTTTCAAGGTTGTAGGGCTCAGCTGCATTGATTCAATTTCATGCGTAATTCGTGTGGCCCAATTCATGGATGACGAAATGTTCTCTAATTTGGAGGCATGTGTTGTCACTAACGCTACAAACGAATGTATCTTAATTGAGGGTGATAAAAGTCAAGATTTTTTAAACATCCAAGGAGTACTTCAACGCAATAATATTTCCATTACTCTAAAAAAGAAAAAAGACTTTTCAAAAGATTCACTGATACAAGATTTGAATTCACTACTTAAATTTAAAGATGGAGAAAAAGAAAGCGCTCATATTTTTCCAGAAACACAATTGGAACATGCTATGACTGCAACTGCAGGACTTATTAAATATCTAGATGTAAATATATTTTTTTAAGATACAGAATTTGTTTTATATTATTATTTTTTTTAAAATCATTGTAATGTAATAAAAACACAATTTTAGTTAACGTCTGATGAAGGAAACATTAATCAATACAAGATAGAAGATTTGAAACAGACGAATTATATGAAATTGGATTCATCAGTGGTACGAGCTTTGAACATTGACCCTTCACCAGAATACAAACTGGGGAATAATCGAGGAGCTCCTACAAGTATTTTTGAGCTCTTAGATAAATGTAGAACTCCACAAGGCCATCGTTTATTAACATTATGGATTAAACAACCGCTTCAAGATTTATCACTCATCACCGAACGTTTAGATATTGTAGAATTCTTTGTTAATAACAGCGAAATTCGATCGAATGTCAATGGAGATTATTTGAAACGAATTCCTGATCTGGAACAATTGGTGAAAAAAATATTAAGGAAAAAAGCAAAATTACGAGACATATATAAGTAAATAAATAGCTATTTTCTATGACATTTAATGATGACCTTCAATAAATTAACTATCTTATTTTTTTAGGGTGTACGAATGTATTAATAATCTACCGAATTTAGTTGAGTGCTTATCAAGTTCAGGTGCTCCAGCAGCTTTGAAATCAATGATAACCGAATCACTGAAAGAAAGCATGAATGACATGGAAAAATATCAAGAAATGGTAGAAAAAACGATAGATTTTGATTCAATAGAGACTGGAGAATATTTAATAAAACCTGATTTCACTGAAGAATTGCTCGGTAAATAAAAATTTGAAGATACAATAATTTTATTGTAGTTTAATGTATTATTACTATTTAAATCAAATTTTTCTCGATTTGTAGAATTACATAAAACCATGAATAGCTTGAAAACGAAAATGGAAAACGAATTTTCTAAAGCTGCACAAGATTTAAGTTTAGATGAAAATAAAAGTATCAAATTGGAATCAATGGCTCAGTTCGGATATTATTTGAGAGTTACTATGAAATCAGAAAAAATGGTTCGACACAATAAGACTTATAAAGTTTTTGATGCAAGCAAGAATGGAGTTAAATTCCGAACAGAAAAAATGGAAAAATACAATGAAGACTATCTAGAAGCAAAGAGGAAATACGAAGCGGCACAAAGAACAATTGTAACTGAAGTAATAGATATAGCAATTGGTTACTGCAGTCATTTAAAAAATATCGCTAAGGTTGCTGCAATCCTTGATGTCTTAACTGCTTTTGCAGTAGTTGCTGCAAATGGTACAAAAAATTATGTCCGACCAAAAATACTTGAGAAAAATTCTGGCGTTATTAACTTTAAACAAGCCCGTCATCCGTGCATTGAAAGTCAACAAGATGTTAACTACATTGCCAATGACATTGAATTCAAACAAAATGAATCTGAATTTCATATTATAACTGGTCCAAATATGGGAGGTAAAAGTACGCATTTAAAAACTGCTGGAATTGTTGTACTTCTAGCACATATAGGATGTTATGTACCATGTGATGAAGCAACAATGCCATTGATTGATTCAATGTTTGCACGAGTTGGAGCTGATGATTCACAGTTCAAAGGAATTTCTACGTTTATGGCAGAAATGATTGAAATGGCCTATATAATGAGGGTAAGCATTACATTTTTTTTAATTAAATTATTGTAAAATAATTGTTACATATTGTTTACATTTATAATTAATAATCGTCTTAGACTGCAACTTCAAATTCGTTGATTTTAATCGATGAGCTTGGAAGAGGTACATCTACTTATGATGGTCGTGGTTTAGCTTGGGCCATAGCAGAACATTTAGCAAAACATGTCAGAGCATTTTCGTTCTTTGCCACTCACTTCCATGAGATTACAATGCTTGCAGAAGATATTCCAACAGTCAAAAATTATCATGTTACTGCTATGGTTAATGGCAAAGATGTTATATTTTTATACGCAGTAAAACCTGGTATCAGTGATCAAAGTTTTGGAATTAATGTAGCAAGAATGGTTAATTTATCTGAGGATATTATTGATTATGCTACCAAAAAACTGAAACAGCTAGAAGAAGCTGAACATTTATATGAAGGATATTTCGAAGGACCTTATACACCTGAAGAAAAAAGGAGAATGGTCGTTGAAGCAGATAAATTGATTGAAAAAATGATCGATAAATGCAGTAAATTGGATCAATCTTTGCCGGAAGAAGAATTGATCAATAAAATTAATGAGTACAAAGAAGAAGTTTTATCTCAAGATAATCCGTACATTAATACGGCACTTTTGAAAGTGAAAAATTAAGCCCTACCTCCAATACTCCAGTATTATATTATAATAATTTAACCTGAAATACATTCTATTTGTTAAGGAATATATTTTTTTAATTTGCAAAACATTTTTATATCATAATTAAAGTTGTTTTTGAGATTTTTAATAACAATTATTATTGAGAATAAAGATGATTTTTTTACGGAATACGTAACCTTGAACTTGACTAGCGTATTGGCCTTTCAGGGAGTGTCATGTGGGGTGGTATGAAATAAGGGTGTCTTTTCATACGCGATTCATTACTCGTTTTTTACTTTAAAAAAACCGGATCACGTGATCACACTACACACCCGTCAATTTGCGCTAACGTCGCGAATACGTATTAAACCTTTACCATTGTTACTGTTTTTCGTTCGTTATACTATCTTTTATTAAATAAAAAATGGATCCAGCGGTCTTCCCTGAAGAAATTTGGATTAAAATATTACTTTACTGCGATGTACCTGATATTATTGCGTTCGGAAGTACCTGCAAATATTTAAGAAAAACTTCCGACACTGATTACCTGTGGTAAGTAAGGTTAACCTCACATTATATCATATAACTCTCTTTAATATTCATATATTGGTTTTAAAAACTTTAAATCAATAATAACTGAATTTACTTATTAATAATTACTTTATAAACTAAAGCCTTTATTATAGTAAGTTCAATGAATTGTATCTTTGAATAATTTCTATTTTTGTTAACAATAAATATTTTCTACAATATTCTCTTTTTTTGTTAAAAATACATATTGTTTTATTGTCACTTTATAAAATCAATAAAAAAATTTTAATTTGCAATGGGTAAAGAGTTTTTGTTCATTTTTTTATAGGAAAATCAAATGGTTGCAATTAATTTCAAAAGTCCAATTCAGATTTCCTGATATGAAGTGTCTTCAATTGCTCAGTGTAAGCTTCAAAGCAATGTGTTATCGGCTTCATATGGTAATAACTCTAGGAGAAAATCCACCATTCCCAAAATGCTATCATTGCAGTGGATACACGTGTCAACGTAACTGCGTAGAGGGTTCTAGCGCTAAAGTTGTAATAGAAATAGGAAATAAATATACATGGGTAATTACACCACACTTTGGATTAAGGAGACATTTCTCGCTCTTTGGAATTCCTAAATGCGACAGTAAAACACATATGCAAAATACTCATCCACCACCTTCAGTAGAAAAAGCGCCAACGAGCAGTAGTACTAGTAGTCGTATCAAGTCCGACTACCGATCCATTGCCAAGAAACTTAAATCATTGAAACTATCCGAATTAACGACGACAAAAATTCCACGACCTAGTGGACCATTTTGTGTCTTCTGTAACTCCGTTAAATTGTATAGAGAAAAAAAAAGGCTGCATACACACCCATTAGAAGCTGTGTGTTATTCACGATCGAATCCTATGTATCAAAAATTAGTAAATGGCTATTGTACAGATACGATTGAAGTTCTTGGAATACCAAATGTAGATGTTGTAAGTCCAGCAGAAGCTTTAAACAGTGATGGATCTTTTCCAGTTTTAAAAACATTTGTTGATCACCTTTTTCATCAAATGGAACTTACGCCTACTTTAAGAAAACCTAATGGAGTTTTAATGTTTTGTGAGCCTTTGGCTATGCACCCAGCTCTTAGGAAACAGTTATTACATTATCTTTTTCAAGAAGTTAAAGTTGCCAGGTATGTTAATTTTAAAATATAATTTTAATTCATTGAGAAAGTATATTGTTTTAGCTAATCTTTAAATGTTTTACATTTTTACAGAGTTTGCTTAGTTCCCAAACCATTGGCAGCGTCTGCATTGCTAAATATTGAAACCTGTGTAGTAGTTGACAGTGGAGCATTAAGTACAACAGTAGCTGTAGTGATTGGAGGTAGAGTAATACCCGAACGTTGGCGACTGCTTCCAGTTGGTGGTTGGCATGTTGCATACCATTTGAAACAAGCCATGCATTGGCAGCCAAAAGAATTTCATCAAATTCCAATTTCTCATCTTGATACTATGGCTGTGAAAGAACGATGTAGACTGAGTTATAATATTGAGCATGAAGAATTACGTAAAGGTGCTACAAAAAGAGAACATATTAATCTGAGAGTTGATAGCTACTCCGAATACAAACAATTTTGGGTAAGATTAATTTTATTGAGTTTATTAAATTTATTGATATATTTTTTATGATTTCTGAACTCGAATTAATGGTTATTAATTTTATTGAAATGAATATTTCAGAAAATTTCATTAGGACCTGAACTGTATATAGCACCAGAAATGATGTATATTAGTCTCGGACTTCCGCAAGTAATAAAAGAAGTCACAATGGGATTACCTGAAGAAATAATGCATGATTGTTTATCACATATTCTTTTAACTGGAGGCAATACAGATTTGTCAGGATTTGCATTAAGATTGAATAAAGATTTAAGAGAAGCTCTCCCGGAATATCAATCTATACTCGAAGTAAGGAGTTGTCCAGGTACACACAGCTGGAATGTCGCTATGGGCTCAATTTATGTTCCTTTGGAACTTCACACTGGTAAATATTCTTTTATAAATAATATTCATGTTTTTTTTCGCAATATCTACCAATAGATTAATATCTGAAATTGCTTATAGATAAAACACCACCAAAATACGTTGAAGGAAATCCTTTCTGGCTATCTCGTGAAGAATATGTTCTTTTTGGCTGTCAATCTCTGGAATAAGTAAAGATGTGGCAGGAGAGGGAAAGCATAAGAGTGAGTATTAGAAAAATACGTATCATGTTTCAGAAACAAATGATCAGACTTGAAAAAATCATTCAATCGTAATATTCGTACTATTTCGTCCGTACAGCATACGATTAACATAAAATTGAGAATGTTGCAACGATTAAATATAGTTTATCCCATGTTGTTTTCAAACTGAACTATATTTATTGCTCGCATTTGATAATGTTATTTAGAAAAAGAATTTATTTTAAAGAAATTTGTCATATAAAAGAGAATTATAGGGAAAAAATTTTATTTTAAATTTGATTAAATTATTAAAGTATTAAAAAATATATAGCAAAAAAATTGACATAATACAATGAATTATTATATGTAATTGTTAAAAATGATGCATGCCATATAGATTTGTCTTTATATTTTATTTTTCTTTACTACATATACTATTTCAGTGAATAAATTATACTTAATTATAATCATGAAAGTTATTATTTAAAAATTTACTATTGATGAATGGAATGTTTTTCTTTGAAAATTTTTTCAATTTGTAAATAGATGTAGGAATTATTAGACGTCAAGATGTAAATAAACATATGCCGAATGAAAGTGGTTTGAATACAGAAATAATGAGCAGAAAGTAAGATAGATTAAATTAATCGTTGACGGATGAATAAGAAGTAAAAATTGGGTAACGAAAAGAGGCTTAATCAAAATGAAGTATTAGTTTGTATCTTCAAGACTTTCCTTCTTTGTAAGTTTATATGCGAAACATCTTGCCAAAAAAGAAGACAAATATAATAAATAGGTTGAAATTAAAGTAATAAAATCTTTCTAGTCATATTAAGAACTAAGCAATCAAGCAATTGAGTAATATATAAACATAATACATAACGATTTCGAAAAATGAACCCGTCTAAAATTTATTACCACTTATATACGAGATATTATGAATTACAATAAAACTACATTTTTTCCATTTTTATCGTACACCAAATTGTACTGAAATTCAAATAATTTACTAATTGATGCGAATTATAGCAACTAAAGATTTTGCCACGACATAGCAGAACCGAATAATTATGCTCATAATTTAATAGTCGTAGATGTATTAATAATCGATTTCCACAAGTTATAATCAACTTTGGGATAACTTTGATAAAACTGAACACCATTAGTTAGAACATATTCTTTAGAAATTTTTTAATTATACTTATATAAGAAGAGAATTTAATTATACTTAGAAGATGGAGTTAGAAGAATTTTAAATTCTTTTATTCTGTTATGCCGTAGCAAAATTTATAAATACTATCAAATAGAAAAAAATACTATGTTAGGAATGTTGATAATTATTAAGCTATAATTATAACTTTCTATATAGTTTGTTTTAAAAAATGAATTTTTTATAATCAATGTTAATTTTTATTTTATGATCATTTATTAATAGAAATTATGAAGATGTTTATCATTATCATGTAATAAGCTATATTATATTTCACTCACATTCCATCAAATTATTAATCATTTATAAATAATAAATATAAAGTAACTTTTGTAGATTGTTATAGATTTTTAATAAATTAATTAATCAATAATGATAAATATATTGTGCACTCCAACATTTTAATATAGATGGTCAAAAAATATAAAAAATTCATGATATTATTTTCTGTATCTACGCATGTTTTCATAATTAATAAAAAAAAACTTTTTTTTTAATTTACATGATGATTTTAATCCGTTTATTTCATTTTTTTTTTTTAATTTTATGTGTTAGCTTTTCATAAATGAGATGATTAATTAAGGTATTAAAAACTCTATGCTTAAATTCGATAATCATAAATAAATAGTAATAATTAGAAGGATAATATTGAGAGAAATTCAACAAATATTAATAATAATAAAAAATGATAATACTAATAACAATACAATATATAGGTATATTTATTATCTTTACAATATTTATTTTATAGACACATGAAATTGATTACATAGGAAACTACACAAAATATATATACATACATACAACTTGTATGTATTCTAATTATAGCTAATTATAATTCTTAATATATTACCAATATTTATAATTTTGGACATTATAATGCTTTCGTGAATAAAAATCTTAAATTAGTTTATTTCTATCATGAAATATCCTTTATGCATGATTTAATATTGAAACCTTTTCTATAACATGGTTGTTGAATAACTTTCCGTATTTAATTATATAAAACGATATACAGGATATGGAACAGTTTCTACAAAATAATGTTTTACTCCTTCTGTACAGTTAGATTCGTTTATTGGTGTTGAAAATTGTTCTTCTTTAGATTTTATTTTTTTCTTGATAAATAAATTATAATTGATCATTACGACTTTATACTTTGATAATTTGTTATATTAGTACGTATTTGTATATTTACATTTTTGTTCGATAAGTAAGTAGTACTTGTAAGTTGAAATGTTTATAAAATAATTTCTAATTAATGAATAAATTAATTAAAAATTATTCATATTAAAGCATTGATATTTTTTCTATCTATAGATTGTTCATTATTTTACAAAATTTGGTTTTAATTATGATTTTTGAAAAAAATTATTTATATACTAAAAGGCACAAATATTACATATTGTTCAACCTAAAGTTCAATTATAAAAATAATAATTAAATTTTAAACTTAATTGATTTAACAAATATTTAAAGATTGATAAAAAGAGTTCGCTATTCTTTAACAACTTTCATTCTTTAGAAAGAAATAGATTAATAATTTTATCAAAATTGAATAGTAATATTAATTCAGTTTTATTAGTATTATCTTTACAAGCTATATACAAAAAAATCAGTACTGATTGTAGAAAAATTCAAACCATTATTGAATCACAAGCTGAAAGATAAAATTATTCTCTAAGACCATCATGTATTTTATTTTCAGTACGAAAAATAATTTTAATCATTTTACTAATATTTGATAATATAGTTTTGAAATGAGCTGACATACTATTAATTTTAATTCGTCTAAACTTGGGTTCATAATTATTTAATGTAATAAATTTCCATGTTTTTTTATTAAAAGAATTTTGTCTCTCAGTTTAATAAATTTTTAGGTGTGGCACTCCAAGAAATACTTTAAAAAAGTTGTATAAATATTAAAATTGATAATAATTATAACTAATATCTTTATAGATATTGATAATTTGAAAAAAAAAATGATAAGAAAATATTTGGGATTCTGAAAAATGATAATAAAATAAAAACAATAATCCTTTATAATAACAATATTAAAAACTATAACAATTATCATATGAGCTGCGACATCAAAAGTTTTTGTAATTTACTACACGCAATTTCAAATCGGATAAGAAAAAAAAACTTATTTAGTTTTGTACTACCTCAGCAGCACGAGGATTTAGCAGGTTCAGCTTCGACTAGATTAAAGTCTAAACCACCTGGCCGAGAAAATCCAGTCTTAATTCCATCCCATCCATCTTCGACCTTGTATTCTCCACTTTTTATTCTATTATATACCTCTTGCGTGACAACTCGGAACGCTTCAGTAACATTAATACCAGTCTTGGCGCTTGTTTCAATGTGATGAACACCATGTTTATCAGCAAATGATCTGGCTTCTTCTTTGGAAACTTCTCGTCTACCACCATTAGTTACTAAATCTAATTTGCAACCTACAAGTGCAAATACTGGTCGATGAGGTTCGATATGTCTGCGTGCTTCCATCATCCATTGAGGAATATGTTCGAAGCTGGCTCTATTGCATACATCATAAACAAGTAATGCACCTACTGAATTTCTGTAATAAGAGTTGGTAATAGATCTGAAAAGTAAAGAAGAGAACAAAACAATTATTTTGATTATTATCAGTAAAAGAAAAAGATATTTAAATATATTTTATAAATTATTCAAATAATAGTGATAAAAGTAGAGTATTATCCAACCTAAATCTCTCTTGCCCTGCTGTATCCCATAGTTGTAATTTGATCCTTGTTCCATCATCAACATCTATCAGTCGTGCAAAAAAGTCTACACCCACTGTTGGATCTGAAAGCTGCAGTAAGTACAAACTGTATTATTAATAATAACAACATATCTCTCATCTATAAACATAAACAATCAACACCTGAATGTGAATGAAAAAATAAGATTTACATTACTGAGCAAAGTTTATTGACATAGCTAAGTAATAGTCATGTTTAATTATTCTTCATGATCGGGCTATGATTTCTAATAATTTAAATATTTTACGACGCAATTTAGTAACAATAAAATTTAACCTAAAAATCTTAAATAGACATATTATCTTTCAGTACTTTACTAGAAGTAATTGCGTCACTAGTTACATGGAATTTGTACTTTTAAATAGATTTTGTACTACGTCATATCTAAAAAGGATTCTTAACATATAATCATCAATTTTATAAAAAAAAACTTTAATTCTCTAATGACTCTGTGAGTTGGAGTATGATTCCTTTTATAGAAGTTGGAGTAAATTACATAGCCTTCAGATGTAAACAAAAGGTTAGAAAAGCTATTGATTCAATGATTAAGTAATCGTAAACAATTAATTTTAGGACAGTAAATGACGGATTAATTGCAACATACCTCTGCAAATTTTCCATCTGTAAAATATTTTAACAAAGAACTTTTCCCTACAGTACTGTCTCCAATTAATATCAATCGAAATTGATAGTCGAAAATGGGTTCCACCATATTGTAATTATTTCTTAATACAAAAAAATATTTCACAACCGCATACGATTTTTCAGAAATCAACAACACACTTATAAGGATTGGAGTATTGGTTTCAACTTAATTTTTAAACTTAAAATCACAGCTGATCGTGACGCATTTAATGACTCCTTTCTACGAACGCACAAACACTGAATGAACAAACGAGCTAACAATAGAAATACCAACAACACCGATTGAGGCAGAATTTTTTTTTTGACTTGCGCACATTATTTTATAAGAAAGTAGGGGAGCGGGATTCTTGACATGGTTAAAAAATTCAAACATTAATATTTATAAACAATTACTTAATATGTATTTCCTTATTCATAATGACCTAAAGTTACTTCACTGAGTACATAAAAATAATAATCATTTTATTTTTTTTTAGTTCTATCATACACAAATGTATTAAAGTCACATGATTCAATTATTGTAAGATAGTTTGTAAATAAACAAGAAATATTTTTTACAGTTCGATTTAATTATAAAAAAATGATGTAATAAAATATTTTAATTTTTTCTAATGAATTTTAACGGAAAGTAATTAATTTTTTTAAGTCATTAAAAATAAAATTTGTTCTTTAATTATTTAAAAATTATGTTATGTTTCTTTTAATGCTGATTCAAGTTTTTTTTCTAATGCCTGACTTGAGATTTGTTGTTGTGACAACATCTTCTCGAGCTTCATAGATGCATTTCGAAAATCATCTACAGAAGATTGTTCAATAATTGTGTTTGAATCATTGAAATCACTTTCATCTTCATTTTCATAAATATTGTCATATTTTTCAATAATGCGTGACACTTCTACTTTTTCCTCATCAAGCTGTTGTTGTTTCATTAAAATATCTTTACGTGAATCTCTTCTATATAGCGGTGAAGCTGGCGAAGGATTTGTTTTGATATAATTCATTAAAATGCTTGATTTCAACCACCATGGTAGAGTTCTAAAAAGTTTCACATGATTTTTATTGTAAACTACTGTTATGTCTTTGTCAATATGACGTAGCTTTTCTTTAATGATTTCAATAATGATGAGAATAAAGTGAGATATTTCTTCCTTATCGGTCATGAAAAATAAACTTCCAAGAATATTATAAGATACCGTAGATGGATGGGAGTTTTTTAATGTTAATTGACAATAATGCTGAATAGATTTATGAAGTTCCATTGTATCGTTGATTGGCCAATTAAAACTGTAAATAAAAAAATTTAATTAAAAAATAAAATAACTATTGGATGAAGAAATTACGAATAACAAGAATCAATAAAATAATTCGAATAACTACTTACGGCCAGGGAGGCAATGATAAACTATTAATAACACTTTCAACTTTTTCCCTGTTATCCTCTTTTTTCCAATCACTATCGAAATATTGATAAGTACATGGTAAATAAACTTTCTTGGGTAAGAAGTTTCTAAACTCTTCTGGAAAGTCGGTGTACATAGTATTTTCTGGATCAAGAATTATGTCAATGAAATAATTGACAGTTTCATTATGAAGATCTATAACAAATTTTGGATCTTCAAGTGCAGCTTTGATATTTGGATTAAAGGAAGCATGTCCACTTATTCTCAACCATAATTCTTCTGTCAAACAAGTATCAATAACATCAACTAAAGTATTCATTTCTAAAGGAATCGGTGGTGATTTATTCAGAGTTAGCCAAAATATTCCAGTTTGTGTTAATCTTAAAATAATGCTTTCATCAATCTTCTTTTCATGATGAATAACATACTCTGACAAATATCCCGAATTTAATAATTTTTTTAGCTCTGTTGTTGGTGTAACATTTTCAGACGCTTGATCATCACCCACAATAATAAATAAAAGAGGTGTCGGCATCAATTTTTGCCTAGCAAGCACAGTCTTTGTTAATCTTTTTCCAACAGCTACAGTATCTTCATCAGCTGTAGCAATAAAAAATAATCCATCTGATCCAATATAATTTTCATCATCCACAACATCTTCTACATGTTTAATACAAATATTTAACGTTTCGTAAGGACGGGGTTTATAAACTTTTATAATCGGATCTAAAGAAGAATTTCCAGGACAGAGGTACTCGTTCATAATATGTTTATAACGATGAAGAAGAGGTCTATTTTTTAAACAAGGCCAAGAAATAATTAATTTCCAAAACATAACTGATGGAAATTCGTTGTCTAATGCTTTAAAATTATCTTTTAGACCTTCGTAAATTTTTGTCTCAATAGGGGTAAGAAATTTACGATGTATTTCATCAAAATCAGTCGAACTGTTTCTTTTTCTCATGTTTTGAATCACTAGATTCTGTTCCTTATGGTAAAAAGCTTTTGCACATGCTTCTAGACTTTGTTTAGGTAACCAAACAGGTGTGTTGCCTAATGCTTTTCTTTGTTGTTTAATTTTAGATACTCGTAGTCGCCAAATTTTAGCATATTTCAAGACTATTCTATTTTTTACTCGTTTATAAATATCTTTTATTTTACTTTGGATATATAATTCTTTATCTAAAATACTTTTAACATCATCTTGAATGCATTGATCTAAAAGTTCATTGAAAATTTTGTCACTTAATCGTTCAAAGAATTTATTTTTTTCTATTTCTTCCTTTACAATACTGGCACAAATATCACGAACAACATTGGCCTCAATTAATTCAGCTTCTTTCATAGCTTTTTCATCAATTCTCTTCAAAATTTCCTGTTTCTTTGTTTTCTCTACTAAAACGTCTTGCTCTTTCTTCTTATCTTGGAACGTCTTGTTTTCTTCTTTCACCTTTTCCTTCAATTTTTCTTTTTTTACCGCTTTAGGAGATTCCGTAGTTTTTAAATTAAATTGATTATAATTAGAGGTAGGTATTTTTGGAGCTTGGAAATTTATCGAAGGTGTGGAAGGCGAAGTAAATGAAAAAGGCAATGAAGTTTGAGGTAGTGTATTCATTTGATTTTCGGAAAGAATAGATTTTTGAGGAAAACTTGAAGTAAATGGTGTTGCATCCGTGATATTTGAATCTTGTTTAGAAACATCTTCAAATTTAGAAAGTGCTTTTCGTTTTTTAGGAATACTGCTAGCTGTCGAAGTTGTACTTGAAACTGATGACCTTTTACTTGATTTATTAGAAGATTTCATTTTTAACCTTAAATCTCGTACTGTAGATTTTTTATTATTATCTTTAGATTTTAGAGGATCCAATCCATCTAATTTTTTTTTAGAAATATTTGATTCTAATCTTGAAAAAATATTATGGTGATTAGAATCCTTTGGCTTTTTTGATTCTTCTTCTGTGGAATGGCTTGTTGAATATGTTGGAAGTTTTGAAGTTTCACGATTTATTGTCTCACCTGGCATATCTTCATCCATGTATTCATAAGGATCTTGTTCAATTTCATCAGTACCTCTATTTTGATCGTTAGCATTAATAGCTTCTGACTTTAAAAATCCTTGAGCATCAAAACTATTATGTGGTTTATGATTTAAATAAAGCTTATTCGGCATTTTATCACCAGCTATCATTTGCCCAAGAGAATATCCAAGAGAAATTCTTTTTGCTTCTACTAAATTTTTTGCTCTTGCTTGATCCATCATTGGTGGAGGTGAACAAATATTTTGCCTATTTAATATCACATACATTTCGTCTTTAGAAACATTCAAACCTGCTTGTTCACAAAAATAAATAGCTTCATTTTCATCATCGAATCCCAAAATATCAATAAATTCGTATAGAGGGTACGATGTTGACGTTGTCCTACAATAAGCTTTCACCATAACATTTAACGCTTCCACTCGTACTTGGAAGAAGTATCTTAATAAAATACAAGCATTTAAATAAGTAGTTTCTTTGACAAGTTTGAAAAATTTTGCATAATTTTTAGATTGAATTGATGAATACACTTTTATTGCAAAATTTACTTCACGAGATTTTTGGATGGATGAAGGCAATCGTTGAAGATCCCACATAAAATTAGCATTGTTTAAATTTAATAAAATAATATAAGCTCGAAACTCTGCTTCATTAATACATACAAATCCTTTCTCTCTTAAATCATGATACATATATTTTAAAGTTTGAAGACATTTTGTTAAATTTTCTGTATTAATCTTCTTATCAAAAACTGCAGCATCTTCAGCACACAATCGCTCAGAACAAACTATATGAAATCTAGCACATTGCTCAACCAATTCTACTGTATCTAAACAACATAATTCTTGTTGAGTGATATCTTTTCTTATTCCTCTAAGTCTATCCCAAATAAAATGATACCACTCTGTTAAATTTGTTCCTTCTTCATCAGCTAAATCAGTGATTTCATGTAATAAATAACTCATAGTCATTTTCAAAGAACTCACTGGTCTTAAATCTTGAGGCATAGGCTCCTCTTGATCAGCTGATGATCGTGAGTACTGTTTAACTGCTAAACTATGATTTATCTTGTATTCATCAGTATTTAGAAGTTCATATGAAGCTGCTTGTCTTTGATATTCTCTCATCAATCTTTCTTTTTCTGGACACATATCTGGACAAGTTCCTATAGTAACTTTAGCTGTAGCTAATGTATGAATTTTAGCTTGTTTCAGTCTCATTAATTTATCTCTGGCATCTAGAATTTTAAATCGATCTTCTGCAGTGTTTGCTTGCTGTTTTATTACATTCTTTAGTTCATTAATTGTTGCATCTGATGACAAATAAGGTATAGAAGGTTCCATTTCTATTTTTTCTTTGCCAGATGACTTTTCCGTTTCTCCAGTAATTTTTTCTGTAAATCTAGTTGATTCTTTTAAAACCATTTTTGATTTTTTTTGTAGTAATAAATTGCTATCAGATGATTCTGTTATTTTTTCTGTATGAAAATGATACTCTGTAATGTTAGACATTGAGTCTAATTCCGACTGAATTTCTTCATCATTTATTTTGATTGGTACTTGAAAAATTTTTGAAGAATCTTTTTTTTTCACTATTGGTTTTGCAAACATTTTAATTTTATACACTAATTAATTCTGACATTTTATTGAATGTTATAAGGGTTCACTATATTGAAAATTTGCCGACAAACTAACCTTAAAAATTATTATTTAAATCGAAATAAAAATAATATATCGATAAAAAATATATCGATTATATTTGTTTTCATGAGAGCAACTTCAATTGGTTTGGCATGCAAGTGAACATGTGAAGTTAGTCGATGTTTTCAATGCCAAGATGGCGGACTTTACCGATACAAATTCGCACGGAATGACAGAAAATAATATTCAAAAACGTACTAATAATCAGTGGGTACGGTTAAATGTTGGTGGAACATATTTTTTAACAGCAAAAACAACTCTAGCACGAGATCCTAACTCATTCCTGTATCGGCTTTGCCAAGAAGACTCCGACCTCATTTCCGACAGGGTTAGTTGACATATTTTGTACCGCGTAATTTAAATATATTTATTGTTTATTTAATATATTATTTATAATTATTTTGTTATCTAAAAGTAGTCAAGTTCTTCCTCAATCTATTTATTTTTATAATAATAAAATTGGAGTGATATTTGTTTTGTTTTTAGGATGAAACGGGGGCTTATCTTATAGACAGAGATCCTACGTATTTTAGTCCTATTTTAAATTACCTTCGACATGGAAAATTAGTAATTAATAAAGATCTCACGGAAGAAGGTGTTCTAGAAGAAGCGGAATTTTACAATATAACTGAACTAATTCGACTTGTTAATGAACGAATAATTATGAGAGATACTCGACCTACAAAGGACTCAGAAAATCATGTTTATCGAGTGTTACAATGTCATGAAGATGAAATCACACAAATGGTATCAACACTGTCTGATGGTTGGAAATTTGAGCAGGTATTTTATTTTTCTTATTTATTATCAATACTTTATACTGATATAAATATTTATCACATTATTTGGTAGAGATAATCATCAACACACGCTAAATAAGTTAATGAATTGTTTTTCAGTTAGTCAATATTGGTTCTCAATATAACTATGGCAATAATGACCATGCAGAGTTTTTATGTGTTGTTAGCAGAGAATATGGACAAAGTCAAATAAATACTAAAGAACAGGAATCGACAGATCGAGTAAAGGTACCAATATCTTATTCGCATTCTGCACACACCAGCCAAAATAGTCGTTGATAGTGTGAAATTTTGATCTTTATATTTTTTATGTCATTATTAAGATTATTAGTGTCAATATGATTACTTTATATTTATTATTATGTTTATAATTATTCTCATTTTGATATTATTTTGATAAGATATATTAATTATTAATATTACAATTTTAGTATGCTATTACTTTTTAACCGACGTAACAAGCGACAATTTACACTAATCGTTTTACTTCTTTTCATGAAGATTAATTGTTTCAATTTATTCGATTTGCAAAATAGTAACATCACAGCCAAAGATTTCAACGCTTATAACCAATTACATACCATAGACCAAAATTCATGATCATTTGAAAGAGAATAATTTATAATAGTTATTTTGAGAAATACCCCATACTTATCACTTGAATCTCTTAAACGGCACTGCAGTATTATACTCACTTATAAATAATCAACTTATTAGTATTTTATATTCATTATTTTTACATTTTAGGAGTAAGGCTCAAATAATATTAACATAGCCAAAACCTCCGTAGATATTATATAAAAAAGTTTGCTGATATTATTTTTTGTGAATAAATTGACAAATTTATTATTAATAATTGATTTTGAAAAGAAGGATTTCAATTTTTTAGACATACAAAATTTTGCATGAGCATGTGTTTTTATAACATACATTTGTTTATAACGTCATTAGTATGTTCAATTATTAATATTTCAATAATTGAATACTTTAAATAACAATTTATTTTTTATTATTGCTATTTTGTCACTTATTTGGTATATAAATTAATATTATATTGTAAAGCATGCTTTTCATTACAAATAAAGAATATTTGCCTTTCATTGGTTTGGTTTCTTTAATTCTTTCCTAAGTCCTGCATGATTAGGTGTTGCATGTTCAGGCATTTCTTATAAGGGATTATTTTTGTTTTTTTATGAATATTTTTGTGTTTAAACAAAACTCGCTATTAATATTCGAAATTCGATCAAAAGCTTTTATGGTCTTTTATGAAAATAAGTGGAGTGTTCTTTATTCATTTATCCATTAAATTCAGTGCTGTAAAATTTTTACTGCTGATGGTTTACTTTTTGTGCTTATTAAATAGCACTATATTGGTCAGGTGAGTAAATGAACTCGGATGTTGTATTAATTCAACTAACACAATGGTTAAATTTACAAAACCGATTGAAAATAAAACTAAGCAATAAAAGTTTATATATTTTTAAAAATGTTGTTTTAGTTAGTAGTAGATTTTGCATTCAGTTACGTCGGCAATTAATCGATTGATTTATAACTCTTTCAAAAATAGCATGATATAGTAAAAGTTAATAATACTCTAGTTGATCATAATAGTTTTTGTAGTTGTAATGTTGATTTATGGATTCATTGGGTTCTAGGTGTTGCAGCAAAAAGGTTCACGAATGTAATCATGATTCCTGTATTTCTTCCTTTGCCCAATTCACGATCAAATTTCATCAACTATACACCAATAATGTGAAGACTGTTTTATTTTTTTTTTCATTTTATAATTTTATTTAAATATTATGGTTATGATATTGAATGACTTTGTTAACTTATTGTATTCTATATTTTATCATCTTATTATTGAAGAAGATAAAATAATAGAGGAGTTTTGTAATTTCTAAGAGTTTGTTTAAACATTGTAAAAACTGATTATGAGACAATATCACTTAAAAAATAATAAATTTAATTTTAAATTCAATTTTAATTTTAATATAGAGTCATGAAATGATAAAAAAAAAAAATTAATTAATGGTAAATTAGATAAAGAATTTTGAATTCTCATAGTTAGTAAGAATTTGAAAATTTTATACCAAATTGTTGTAAAAAATTATATTATTTGCATATTTCTAACTGGGAAATATTCAAATCAACTTGCGCACTGCCGCTATTTATTGAGAAAAAATCTTGTACGAGTAAAATATTAATATTCGACTGAAAAGTCGCGATTTATCATTATTTTATTTCAGATGAGATTAAAAGCACTAAAATGAGACAAAAAAAAATCACGCAAAACAATTTTTGTATTGTTAAAATTGTTGAGTCAAAACTTTAAGATGAAACATAAATAGTTGATAAATGGTTTATCAATATTCGTAAATGTTTTTATATAGGAATAAAAATCCCTTCTACTTTTAGCAAATGGACCAAACTTTCATCGATTATGATAAAACATGAAATAAAAATTGAAAATTCTGAGAATACTAAGATACAATTTAAAAATTTCAATAATAAATATCAATAAAAATAACGAAAAAAATAAATCGATTGAAAATGCATAAAAAAAAATTTTGAACATGCATTCAAATATCGAATTAAGTAAACAAACTTTTTAACACATCTCTGCAAACATTTTCCAAGTACATTTTTCCATGAAATATTCTTGAATGTGATGAGTGTATATTTTTTAATTGTTACATACGTAACAGGCCTACCAAAATGAATTTTCACTTTTGAATTTTCTTATTACTATTATAAGGAGATAATGGAGAAAATGTGTTTAATTATGAATTAAAATTAATATTGCTATATCAATAAATGTCATGAATAGAATAAATAAAAATGAATATTAGATTTAATAAAAGAATGGAGAGTAAGAACAAAATAAATTTATATATCAAGAAGAATGCTAATAAGATGGATGGCAGAAATAAGAATTAGTGCAATAATCAGATATTTGATACAACTTGATACGTAATAATATTGTTTTTGTCATTTATATTACAGTATAATTATTATTAGCTCAAAGTTTTTATGAATAATTAAACTGTAATGTAATTAATTACCCATGATAAAAAAAACTTGGCTTATTATACATATGAGAATATAATATTAGTTTACCAGCTAATTAATGAATAATAATTCTAAGAAAAATAAACATAAATAAAGTGATTGGTAGTAATAATTAAAATAAATTATTTAATAAAAGTATAGATGGTAATAGATGTTAAACTGAAAAAAATTAGGCAGCGCATATTACACACAAATGTAAGCAGATGATAAAGAACAAACATTTTTATGAAAGAATTTGTACTTTCATAAGAATCAATATAATTTCTAAAAACTGTTTTGACATTTAATATTTCATAGAGTGTGGTTAATTAATTGATCGTAAATTATATACATATTTCTAGATGCATATGTATGAATGAAAGAAAATTTTAATACAACTAATTTATAAAAAATACACATGAAAAAATAATATTATTCGACAAAATGAGTGACAAATAACTTTCGATCAAAGACATTTTAAAAATATTTTATACCAGAAATAAAACAAATTATTACAATGGATTATTATAATAATCCAATAAATTCTTATAAGAATTATAATAAAATAAAATAAATAGTAATAAAAAAAAATGGAAATCAGACATTTAAAACATATACATAAAAGTTTTTACTCTTTATAAGCACAATTTTTCATACATTTTTGAATTTTTCTGTTATTTTACAAAAATATTTGAATTTCAGTAAATCGTAGATTTTATGATTTCTCTATTAATAAAATGGATAAAATAGAAAGCTGATTGAACTATGCACAATAAATTATTTATGTGCTTTATTCATCTGCAGAGATATTTAATATTTGTGGATACGTAATTAGTGTCTACCAAATTTCTTCATATTATTGATAATTACCAGATCCTTTACACGAATAGATGTTGTATGACGTGAATTATATAAAATGAATAATCTAAAGTTGTGTATTTGAATGATTTTTGTTATATGTATGAGTTACGAATTGAAATTCAATGAAGATTTTATTAAATTTTAGGTTTCTAATGATTTAATAACAGTCATACTAACAATTTTATTCATTATATTTAATTTGCATGAAATCGTAAATACTTGTGAAATTGTCACGTATAAACAATTAATCTAAATAAAAAATATGTAAGAATATATTCATATATATTTATAAGAAAGACATCATTGTATTAATATAACATTTTAAGTTGTCATTTATAGTTTGTTTTTTTTTTTTGCATGAATAAGTCAAGGCATACTAGCAATGGTTTTTAATGGATGTTCTAAATAGCTGGCAAGTGCCTGGGCTTTTTCTCTTAACAATCCAAAGCCTACATTTTCTCTAGCATATAAGCAAAGTAATAAATTTGCTACTTCTGTAATAACCACTCTGCCTTCCTGTAAAAATAAATCGATTACAGTATCCAATAGACAATTATTAGTTAATTATTCGTTATGACATTTAAAAGTTGAAAGAGACTTAATACTGAATTTATACACTCATATTTACTTGACAGTCCATTAAGACAAACTGTAGTTCATCTTCCTTGAAAGCATTTCGACCGTTTTTTTCATAAGCAGACCAAATATTGCTGGTAATTGCAGCAGTTACACGAGCATCCTTATCTCCATAGCCACTGTAAGCAAGAAGACCTCCATCTCTACTAAGTAATCTGTCAAAAAAGCATATTTGTTAGACACTTCGACTACTGTAATAAAATAAGTAAGTATATATTAATAAAAAACTAACAAAGTATTTTGCACTCCTCCAGTAGTTGCTTGGCTTAAAACCTGCATAAGAGCCTTTGGTTTTAACATTTTACACTGAAAAATATGATCAAATTGATATCCCTGAAAGGTTAAATACTAATTGTTGCTTACATCGCTCATAATATGACAAATCAATTAAAATATTCCCTTCGATTTCGCACACAACAACATTAAGCAGTATTCTTTATCTTTTTTTGTTGAAAACAATTTTTACGATTACTCCAAATTCAATAGGCATAAATGTTTATGTTTGCTAAAGAAGAGAAATTAATCACATTTCTCAGAAAAAGATAAAACAATAACATGGAAAGTAGTGCCACTCCGTTTGTAACCGACAGTAATTACCGACTGCGAGAATAATAAATATCGACAGATAATAACTTAGATATCGTTAAGCTTAAATCAACATGTCTATTTTATCGATTGTTAATGAGTATTGGTATCATTTCGATTTTAACAAAAGTAATCAAAGTCACTTTTGGAGATGATAATTCGCGGTAAAGACAATTTTGATCTCCAAAACAAAACTCAATGAATATTCAATATCAGATAGAACAAAAAAACAGATATACGATAAAGTTTTTTTATTATTTTTATGTAAATTATTGATCTATTATTTTTTTTCTCTTTTCATATAATTAATTGAATGAGTTTAAGCTTCAGTGTTTCATTAACGTAATATAATTGCAATGCCAATTAGCGTTATTCATTAAATATTAATCTGCAATTCGAATTCATTTCAATGTACTTAAGATTTATTGAATACATAATGAACGAGTTAGGATGCAGAGAATGTAGACAGCATGAGACACTCAAGTAAATGCATTGCACTCGATCCCATACTTAGTACTTGAGTACTTCAATACATTGAGCATTGCGTTCCGACATTCATTGGCAATCCTACATATATAATTTCCTTCACATGGCCATTAGTCATAAATTCATGATCATATGTCGGAATCGATAAATTACAAATCTCACTTATGACTGGCGATTTGGTCGATTGATTTTACAACCATCTGACTGAACAGCAGTCTTTGAGATTGAAAGTTTTGCATGCTTCATATCAAAGTATTAATAGTAAGGCTACAACTATTTCAATTAACCTACTTACTAACTTGTTTGACTCCTTATTCTAATTCATTTTTCTCAGAATGAACCAGTTTAAAATTTTGGATGAAATGTAATTTATGGTCTCATTTATTGGAAAATGATGTAGTAACACTCTTCAGAGAACTGTTTTTTGTATAAGAATGTTAATAGAATATAATGAATATTTATTAGAATATGTAATGGATAAAACGGTAATCTATAATTAATTAACAATTTGTTCCACTATTTTTTTTATACTGAAATTAACATTCATTCATATATCAATACGCCATAAATCATACATTAAGCTTTAGAAATCGATAATTACTCATAATAATTAATTTAATAAAAAATCAAATTAGGATTCAAGTAAAATTTGAGTAAATTTTTCGTTCCATACTATGTGAAAGTATTTAATGGATTTCAATGAATATTTATAAAACTATTTATAAACTGAAACGGTGGTCTTTATAATTAATTACAAATTTGTTTAAAATATTTTTAAACACGAGTCAACATTCATCAACTTATCAGTACTTCATTAATCAAATTTCCAAAATTTAAATTTGATTTCTAAATGTTTTAAAAGACTGAAAACTTTTCGAATCCATTTCCACTTCTTTATTTTTTTATTTTCATTAAAAAGTGAAATTAGATCAATATTGTTATAATTAAAAATTTTAATTGAATAGATTTGTGATCAACCGAATATGATAAAATAGTAATCTTGATACAGATCGATTGTCGATCTTAATGAATAAATAATGAATAGATACAGAAAAATAAGAATTATTTGTGAATAACTTAGTATCAACGATGTGTTTATAAATCTCAAAACTTTTAATTCAATATCAGAGACTAAATATATCTTTCTTTGTTCGATAAAACAGTTCCATGTTGTTATCAGTTCGCGTGTGGAAAGACACGTGATGTGAACTATTTGATGGTGATAAATTTAAGGGTCAAGTGTTGATAAAGTTTTTAACAATAGCTATCTATCCTTTAGGATATTGTTAGTTTAAGGAAGAATTAATGAAGAAGAAGTTCAAGCTGATACTTTTAAATGGAGACAATGAAGGTGAAAATAAGAGCAATTTTCCTTAAGTAAAGTAGTGTATACCAAAGTACTGAGGTTTGTACATTCATCACGAGTTATTAAACAAGGTAACAAAAGGAGACGGGACTCTTGGGCGCGTAAAAAAGGCGGAGAGATAGAATCGGCTAACTAGTATACTCGGAGCGATGATAGATTGCCTCAGGATTAAGCATCATGGCCTCCAATGTTCTCCTTCTTACTTTCTCGCACTTGTCTTTATCTCGTATTCCTTTTCTCAATCTCTTTAGTCCGCCTTTTGCCCTTAACGGTCTCATCTGGGCTCAGTTGTATATTTCTTTGCCAGTCGAACTGGATGAAAAGCTTGATAAGAATACCTGGAGAACGTTTAAAAAAATTTAATCTTTTAAACATGAGTAAAAAATCATATTTGATTTAGTAGCTACTTCGATTTATACTTGAATTAGGGTGAGATTAATTGTCGAATTAAATTGGTAATTATTCATCCCGTCTATTATTTGTATTCCCTACCTGTCGATGAAATAGTTGTTATTATTATCAGAATAATTTCTGCCAGAAATTTAGGTCGATGAATTGAGTATGAGCAGCAGTGGATAGGGTACGAGTAGCCTCAGACATCCGGTCGTTTAGAGTAATATCGATTTTTAAGGGTTTCCTCTTAGAACTTTAAATTATTTCCAACCTGTCAATCTATAATTTTATATTTTTAAGACTTTAAAATCTTACTTTGATGATTTTATCAAGTGAATAATTATGAATAACAAACATTGACTTTATGAAGTATGAAGTACATTCGAGAAATTATCTCTTCACTTCAAAGGTAGCCAATTTTTAGTTAAATAAAATTTTATTAAGTCTCCGACGGGATTTCACTTTTATGCAAATAATGTTTCGTTGCATGGAGTTGGATTTCATTAGCATAACAAAGCTATTTAAATATTAAACTAATTTAATATTTTTTATTACATCATTTTTGATTTTTAAAGCCTTGAGACAATCAGTATTTCATTTTTATGCTCTATTCAATTTTTATTTAAACAAATTAACTTAACTTTTGTCATTATGAGGGTAATAATAAATTGTAAACATGATTATTTTTATTTAAATTGTTATGAAAAATTATAACGAGTGAAATAAAAATATGCAAATCTTGTAAAAAATGTTAATAGTAAAATGAAAGGATATTTTTCTTATTAAACTCATTCATTTTTCACAGCTGAAAAATTCTGTTTGATAGACACGCTGATGAAACTTTTATCTTTCGCCTCCATTCGCATTTACTTCGTTTCTTCTCGCTGTTAATTTCCATCATCTCTTAACTTCACATTTTTTTTTAACTTCGTTCACTTGAATTTTCATGCTTTTATCTTTATTTTTTTCGTGTTCCTGTGCTACAAAACACCAGACAGTGCAAACTAGCCGCTTATCACGTGGCCTTTTGCACCAGAACGAGCGGCGCCGGCGTGCAATTTGCGAGCACTGACGAACGTGTAATATGATGTATTTCACTTGCATGATTGTACGAATACATGTGTAGGTGTTTGATACGAAATGTATATAGGTATGAGAGACGAGAGCTATTGAGATAGCCGTGGTCCATCCCCTTCGTGCGTTAAAATTTGTAATACGAGTTCAACCCGTGAAATTGTTCACCCTCTGGGGGGTCACTTTTTCGTGTTCCTGATTTTATTTTTTTTCTTCACATTTTTCCTTCTTCCATGCAAAAATACTCTGAATAGATAGAATGTAAAAAATCTCATGGGAATGAGAAATTAGATTCATTGTTAACGAATCTAATTAATCGTCGTCAAATTTTTTACTTGTTTGAAATACAAAAAATTAAATGACGAATAAATAAATTCTTAAAGTGATATATTTCTTCTTACATCTTTGGTTTTTGCGTAAAAAAATTATGGAATATATTTTGTTGATCTAAATAATTTGATCCTTAATAAAAATTCAAAGAGAATAAAAGCGTGTTGAAGTGAACAGATTGTCAGTGGTAATTCGATTTGGTTTACCCTCCGATTTTGTGGGTCCGATCCTTGTGAATTGCTTGATAAATTCATGGGATTTTGAGGAGCTAAAGGGACGACACTGGAGACAGATCCCCGTGGCTTTACAAAGCATCAAGAAAACGATAGCTGGGATATCGAAGGGTGTAATAAACCTCCAACGAGATACTGCTAGGTATTGTCTTCGATAGATCACCAAGAGAAAAAAAATCGGAGTTAAGCTAAAGGACAATCTTTACTTGAAAAGGGGAAGGACTACGAGGAAACGATGATGTTGAAAAGTCTCCATTTAGTGGACAAAGTGGACGACTTTTTTCCCTGATTCAGATGTTGATCTTGCATAGTTTATATTCCAATTTCTTGAGTTAAATTTATCTTTTTTGGCTGAAAAAAAATTCTCATCAACTATTTATTTACTGTCGTGCAAAATTGAATAGATAATACAACTTTATTTAATCATGTTTATTTAATAAATAGGTAATAAAGTATTTTTGTTTGCTTTTTGATTGATAAAATGATTATTATTTTATTTAATTAATTAAAATTGAAATGAAAGTTTTATTGATATATTAAAAAAACTCATTTGAATTTTTTCTTATTTAACTTCAAAGATTCTGATAGAATTTCCAATTTCTATTTGCAATAATTTTGCATAAAATAACTTTTTCTATCTAACGATATCTTGAATATTAAAATCCATTAAAAATAATGTTAAAACATTTATTGACAACATTTTCCAATTTTCTCTATTAAATATAAAACCATCTCCATCAGTTTGAAAATTACTCCAATTTCTTTTTCAAACCTTCATACATTTTCTCTTTGCATTTTTACTTGAATTTTTTTGACCTGATCATTGCTGAATATTTTTCATCTTTTTTCTACCTCGCGACAAATCAAATTACTCGCAGCATCAGAAATCAGTCGGTGGTCGTAGATACCACTGGGAGACAAATGATTTCACTCTTCAGCGAGTAGACTGTGATTATGAAATAAATCTATAGAGGACAGAAAAAGAGGAGGAAAAGGAAAAATGTCGAGTTACCATGACAACGAAAAGCACGGTTAAATCCACAAAGCACCCTTGTGCCGAGAGCGAGTGGCAACGCTATACCCAAGAACAGAAGA